CCAATACAATCACTGTTGTGGCGAGGTGGCGACGACATACCCTGTCGCAACGTTCGCATCATTGATAATTGTGTTGTAATCTTATTATTTTGCTTACCCACAGGTTAAAAGCTATCAAGATTAAAGAATTCTTCGTGTATCTTGAGAATGAGTATTGTTCATTTTAAAGGTTGTGAAGGAATACTACAGACCCCATTGTTACATACCTGCAACGGGTGTTTTAACACTGATTTATTGCATTTACATGTCTTTTGCCACTCACTTTACAGAAATTCCTATTTAATACTACCCAACAGTCTTATAATAGGTCCATCACCTCTGCAAGGTTTTTTGTTTCTTAACCCAGCTATTATAAGGTAATGTCAAGAGCCAATCAATCAATGGATTAATTTAAGACTTTCCATCTTGTCATTTTAATAACCTGTTTGGTACTTACTCTACAGATTATGTTGAATCAACTTAACAACTGTTTTTTAATGTGCTAAAATCTTGAATATCAGCAAAGGTTTCTCTAGTACTCGTACCTTTTAGCAAAACATTCCAAGTGGTGGCCTTTAACACTCGTTTTATTCGAGCCCGGGTCGGGGCGCAGCTTCTTTGATAGCTCGTTATATGGAACAAAGGCAACGCTACATCAAACGAGGTATTTCTTTACGCTGTGACATTTTAATAACGGGACCCCAATTGGTTTCCCATTTTATTGTTAACGTCAATTTAACAATGGTTGGTAGACTGACGATAAATTGTTTCAATTGCGTATTTCAGGTAGTTAATTATATAATCTCATTACGGTTATAATGAAGTGCACAGAAAGTTGTAAAACTAAATAAATTCACCTGGCAGCGATTTGTTGCTATTGTTAGAACATTTATAATGACATTAACTGTTCCGTTTAAACCTTAATTATATGACTGAAATATAAGTACCTATATAATTATACATATATGTACAACAAATATTAACGACAAAAAGACTTTCTATTTGTAACAATTAACTAAAAATAACAGTACATCTACATATTAAAATATATCTAGTACATTTTTAGACTAAGTTGCTGTTCTTATATACCTAGTTAACAGTAGTTAGATACCCACTTCAAATACACAGGAATGTTAACGTCTAATGGGCATTTTCTTATCAGCATAATTGTATGTGAGAACAAGTTCTAAAATACCATTAAAGATGTTTCTCGCCAAACCTGACCTGCCTTTACTACTACTACTACCTGTAAAATGTAGAGGAACTAATACGTAAATGTAACGAGCCACTGGAAGCCAGCGAAGTCATTTGCCATGTAATGAGACTCATTGCCCTCTGCAAACCAGTTCGATGGACGCGCGAACACAAACAGGATTCCAGTCTGCCTTCCGGACTTGAAGATTACAAACCAATTACATGGACACATTAAAATAATTTAGATAAGCAAGCTTAATTATGCGTATTTAATAATTACCTAGGTGTGTTCAAGTGACCTTATTTCTATCTTAAAAAGCTACTTGGTATCATTGCGTTCGCCAGGGCATTGTGTCCGATCAGTCACGGTCTCGTTCATGATCGCACGAATAAGCTCGCTCCTACAGACTGTCTGCGATCATGTTTCACAGCCATATTTCGTGATGGGAAATGACGAAACGAGGAAGTTTCGTGAGAGTCTGCAGCGCGTTACTATCGCATCATCTAGATGTGATAATGTTGTGAAAAATTGCCAAAACACTTATCGGTTGAAGTGGCGGGATATAGCATCTGTGGTGTCGAATCTGACATGATCGCGATAGCATGTCTAGACTCAGAGGTAATTCAGAGCTCCCTCCTCGCGCCACAGTCCCGTTAGCCGGATACCGCAGCACCCGCTTGTTATGCAACTGATGTGTCCCTCGTTTGCTGCACTGACGCGGATCGTGCGTCGAAGGCGCGCAATCCGCGTATGCGCATTTAAAAATACAAACTTCACAATCCAATTAGTTACCTACTTTGAAGTTAGCTAGTTATGAAGTATTATAACTATAGTATTATAATACTAGTATTATGTTCACTGTTAGAAACCAAGCAGCTCTGGTAATACATACAAAACAAAAAACTGAGTGAACCCTCCGAAATAGACACACCAAAATAATCCCATCAATCAAATGTATTTTTGCGTTTGTTTTGAATCGGCGCCGGTAGCCTACTGTTGTTGAGTATTCTGTATTTCCTAGCGGTACATTTATTTCCGACAATGCAGGATTGAGATTTGTTAAATTTCTTAAACGTTTAATTGTATTTAGTTCCGTCCTGCTATCAGTTTATGTACAGATACGTTTTACTATCCATGGTCGACTTGGTAGTTACCTATCTACATACTTCTCTAAGTAAGAATATGAATAGTTAGTTAATCATAAATATGGCTTAGGTTGGGTAACATGGCATAAATAGACGCGAGTCATATATCCGGTATTGCCATAAAAAGAATCTATGGATGCAAATAGAATAACTTTAGCCCTACTAGTGGTGATAAAATCGTTGGATATAGCAATGGTCATTTTTGCAGCCCGATTAAAGTAAATATTAAAACTTCTATTTTGTGTCTAAATATTGGGTAGTTAGGTAGGCAGTTATTTGTAGTAGTAATTACAAAATTGTGCTCTAGTTATCAAAATATTCTTTCGTCATAGAATGGTTTTTATTTTAAGAAGTTCAGTAAATCCAATGCATGTACAATCGCGATCACCAAACAAGGAACTAAAGCTAATGGAACAGATCATAATATTCCCGTGGATGGTAATAGGTTCGCTAAGGGATAACGGACTTAGAATACAACTGGCGAAAAGTAGGTTAAAGTGGTATTTATAACCACTGCAAATAATACACTGGCCAAATGTGTCCTGTATAAACCTATTAGGGTAGTTTCCTAAATTTTATTTTAATGTCCGTCTGGTACATTAATTTAAAACTTTAGACACGTATTTACTTTTCTCACAAAATTAATAAATAATTTCGATGATATATTAATTTGAAATATCGTGTGACGTCACAGAGTGCCCCATTTTGTAACACGTTATGAAGTAACAATCTCCCACTCCTAAATTTAGCGCCATTTTATCTAAGTATTGCAACTTGATACGAGTAAATAAAAAAATATGTGTCTAATATTTTGTCATATCTAACTGACGGACTAATTAGATTTTTAATTTTGATACCTTGGAAGCTACCCAATTTTGTATAACTTTTCTTTTATTCATAAAAATAGGTAAGTATATCCAAATTATGCCTTTGAGAGCCAAAACCACACCCCAGACTAATAATTAATAATTGTATATATTCCACATAGTGATATACATTTTTTTTGGTAATCCAAGATAGATAGAATATAAGAAACCATATACTATATGTATACACTTATAGTATTGATTATACAATTAGTTAAGGTACCTAATACGTAATTGAGAACTGAGAAAAAAGCATTCTGCAAATTATTATTTTTTTTTAATTAGTTTGATTTCATATTTTAGAATAAGGAATCAGGCAGGTTATTGGTTTACAAACTACGTGCAAAAATAGTTTTGGTGCTGTGTGATCAATTTGGATCAGAAAGCAAAAAGATAATCCAGATATTAACTCGTCGAGTACCGGTTTTGTAGACACAATTATAGAACAATAGGTTGCGGTCACCGGCGACCGCTTGGTGTTTGACAGTTTAACATGTATCTGTTGCATAGCGTAAATTGCTTCTTTTTTGTCTACCTATTCTGACAGAATGCAGGTCACATCCAAACACAATGTAAACTGAATACTTTATGCTGTAACTATGAAATTTTGTGTGGGTAAATAAAAAAACTACTAGACGGATTTCGATGACACTGGCAGAAGCTAATATATGTACATTATAGTATCAGAACACAGACTCTTGACAGACAGAGGTCTTGAAAGATTACATTGCATTCATTTTTTCATAACTTAGTAACCATTCAAATTGATATGCAGAACATTTGCGTAATACATATTGACCATTTATTTAAACAAATCACACTGACCTTATATAGATATATAAGGTTTTTCTTACAAGGGTAGATAGATACCCTTGTTAGAAAATAATAATTAAAGTAAAAATATTATGAATATAAAAAAATATGTCTTGGGCGCTGTTAGTAGTCATGAAACAAACTGCAACAACTTCCGCAAGTAGGCATGTTATAGGTAATAACTATCGCGAGACATGCCACGACCGCACACGCTGCTCATGAGGAAGAACCCCTCTGTGGTTCAAAACTAGTAGAGCTTTTTTTCAGTATATTCACGTGAGTAACCCACAATTTTTAGTTAATTCTAAGTAGTTAGTTAAGTCAGCAAAACTGTTTAGATAATAATTCTGCCTATCCCAAATGGTTATGGTGGAACATAGAATGTAAAATGCATTAAAAAGAAATGTTCCATAGAGAAGTGTGACCTCAACCGACATTATTATTGTATGTTAAGCATTATTACTATACTATTACATTACTGATTACAAATTTTACTTTATGATGCTGTAGATCTGAATGAAAAAACTAAAATAAACAACTACAGTTGATTAGATTTATAAATATTATAGCTACTTAAAAAGATTTTTTTATATCTGCATTGATCAGATACACAAATAGCTGTATGCATGAAAGCAGAATAGGATCCTACATTCATAAATACAAGTTTCTAAACTTGTTTTAACAAGAAGAATTTTTACAAGTTCTAAGCAACAAAAAGCTAAGTACTTATTATGCACTCTGCAGGAAAGTTATTTTACACTAACTTTTTATTGTTCTTAGTGTCATCACTTGTTTTTTTAAACTTAAATTTCTGGTATTAAAAACTAACTACAAAATAAAAAACAACTTTTGCTAACATTACTTTTAATATAAGTTCATACTAAAGTAAACAAAACACCACCACATCCATGTGACATACAACATAAATAAAGCCGTGCATGCAAGCCACAGAGCCAGTTAAGTAGGATGGAAGCGTAGGCGGCCAGGTTCTCCTCAGCTCACCTTGCGGGATTGTTGGCGCGGGATCCAGTGGCGTCGCCAGCACACCAGCCAGTTGCGCCACCGCTTCCACGGCCCACAGCACCCCCCACATGTCCCACAACCACATCACAGCACTCCACTATCTCATTATTGGCACAATATTCACACAACTTAACCAATACCAAAGCCTAACTATACTAATAACTTCTATTGAAACGATCATACTTTGGAAAAACTCGTGTCGCAAAGAAAGCGATTGCTAGCATATTATCGAGCTCTATCTATCACATTATTCTATGATTTACGAATAAAGTTTAAAACGAATGTTATTCAAACAAAGACAGTTACTGCACGTCATAACATTCCTCTGACTGCGAATTACGAAACAATCTGCTACAACAACGTCCCGTCAACCACTAGCTCGAAACGAAACTTGACTACCTTCACCTTGTTGTGTTGACTAATTCGAATTTGACGTTCAGAAACTAGTGACAGTTGACAATCGAGAAATCGCATCAAGAATAATCGAATAGAAAATAATCAGAGTATTCTTTGTGACTGATCAAGTGACGATAACACTCTACTAATCTTTAATTTTATAAGTTTTCTTTTTACAACCACAAAGATAATATTGATGAATTTCTGGTAGATCTTCGGGATTCATTTCCAATACCAATTTAGCCATATCAATTAAATATGGCAACTTCATTTGGCGATCCTTTGGCATAAAAAAGTCTGTTGCTGGTTCCCACCGTCCGTCGACGAATCTTGCAGGTTGAGAAAATATCCCATCAAAGTGTAATCCAAATGATCCTAGATAAAAATATAATATCTTAATTTTATAACATTGAGAAGTGGTTATGGTTAAAATAGGAATAATATTAATTACCAAGAGCCGTGTGCATGTGTGAAAAATACTTCTTAAATTATTATCATATAGCTTTTAAATATATATCTCAACAATATTTACCATCACAACAAATGCCTAGACAGACTATATGGTCAGGGCTCGGATTTAGAAGCCATAAATTTACCAAACTAATGACGGCAATGGCTTTGCTTAATCTTGCTTGTCCATGTCCAAACTTTTTCTAAACAATGTAAAATATTATAGTTAGAATTAGGTAAGAAATGATGTATTGTATGAAAGAAAAATAAAATTCAGGTCGGTTGACATAACGTTATAGGAGAGAAAGTTGTGTGGCCCAGGGCCTAGGGCGGATAAATATTATGATTTGCAATGAGGAATTGGTTAATAATAATAGTGTACTGTCTGATTAGATAAGCCTATTAATTAGTTTGTTATTGTAATTGAACTTCCCAAAAAGGAAGAGGTTCTCAATTCAACCGGTATCTTGTTTTTTGTGGCTTTACTTTTAAACATATCTTGGTTATCAATATAATGAAATTTAGATTATTTTTGTGAAATATGTCTAGTCAATTATCTAATGTTTCGTCACAAGCTTACATGAATATGCATGAAGACACTTACTTTCATCTCAGCTACTTCCATCCATAGAGTTTCATCAAAGCGCATCAAGTAATCTAGAGGACGCTTTTCGGGAGTGATAGACCCTATATTCAGAGATGATTGTTTTACTCTCGAGTATCTTTTGTATGGTTTGAAGCTGTTGTACATATGAATTGTTGTTTGTATATCAACTAATTTGTTTATTCCGATGAATCCCCACACAGGAGGACAAAAAATATTTCTCATAGGCACTTGGGCGACTTTTGCTACTACTGGCAAAATTTCCGTTCCAACGTCAGAAGTCGCAACAACTATGTTGTTTTTGTTAATATTAACAGAATTCCTCAGAATTGTAGCATTATAGCAAGCAGGTCCCAAATTGGGGAAAATAATATACATTTTACGTGATCCTGAAGCATTGATCATAAGAGCCAATTCTTTCATTTTTTTTCTATTTTCACGTAGCCAAATTCCCATTGGTTTACTCTCACTGAAAAAAAAATACGATCAACATTGTAAAAGATAAATAATGACAACCACATAAGTATCATCACCCAGGAGGGCAAAACCCCGCAATGGCAAATACGGACATGAACGATGTAGCTTCCACGTTATACAATTTAAAATTACCTAAGATACCTAGGAGATATACTTACTCGAACGGTTCGTGGTCCAAAACGATAAGTACGTCCGTATTAGTGAGTGCAACTCCAATTTTACTAACACATTTTATGTCTCTTCCTGGGTTATCAGTTTGGACGTAGGAACATTCTTTTTCAATGTAATTCATAAACGATGGAGTACAACGTTCATCATACAAATAGATTTTGTGAATCGTTTTATCACTCTCCATTATTGCATGATCAACTAAGCCCGATATCAAATGCATAGCTAATAAGTGGCCGGCTCCAGAAATAGTTATTACAAACTTCTTTTGAGGAGGAGCTTCTAATGTAGGCCTTTTGACTGCATCCAATTTGTGCAAAATATTTTCTATATGAAGTTTTTTCTTAAATTGTAGGATATTGTTAAGTAAATCATCGTACTTCTCAGATGAAAATAGTGCGTCAAAATTATAATATGAATAACAATAATCTAAAAAATCTGATGCGCCTCCAATATATTGTGGTTTACTTCCCTTCATCAATAGTTCTTTCCAAACAATAGGTGACTCTTTATGATGCCATTTATTTTTCACGTTTACTTTACATAACCAAGCCTAAAATGAAAAGAATATTCACAAATTAATATTGTCAAGTTTGGAGAGTCGTAGTTTGCCACGAATAGGCCGGCTGGAGTAACACACTTCACAGAAAACTGGCGTGAAACAACGCTCGCGTGTAACGTTTCACCGTGTGAGTGTAGTAACCGGAGGCTCAATTCTCTCTCCCTCATTGTCCATCAATCTCCATGATCCCCAAATCTTCAAATCGCTAATCCCTATAGAACAAGCATCTATGACGCAGATTGGTTATCACCAGATATCCATCTGCTCGCTTGACGCCTTATAGCCCTAATTTCGAAATAAGTATAATAAATTTTGTGTAGATAACTAGATATATCATTTTACTAACTTTCCATTCCATAACAGACTTTTCAATACAATGGAAACAAAAATTTGGAAGATTTTGTGAAAGATAATCCGCTAGAAGGCACGTCTCTGCATAAGCAGAACATTGAGTCTCCCCAGCAATTATAATGCGGAATCCCATTTGTTAAATATTTTTTACGTTCTCTAAACTTCTTCTGATTTAGTTTAGATCAACCTTTTCTATATAAGCTATGTTATAAACACTCGCAAGTAAAAAATTACGACGACCATTCAAAATAGACTGGCAACAAGTTTCATATTGACAATCAATGTCAATAGAAAAAAAACACAGAGGAGTGGTTTCAACCAGTACTATTAATAATCATGTATATTTCTATTAACCAAAGGTTTATTAACGTACGTAAATAGTTGTATTGTTTAGTAGAAATATACATTCTACCCAGTTCAGACCCAAGTAATATATATACATATAATAAAAAAATGTAAGTAAATTGTAATCGAATCCTAAATCGATTATCAAATCGAATGAATAAATTTCGGATCTTTCTAAACGTTCTTTGTCTAATACGTCAGTCACTCTACCAATGTCAGTAGCCTTTTTCAATGTGACCCCATGTAAAAACTCAATAAGGTTGGTACTTTGACACATAATCAAACGAATTAAATCATGCTACATATGATTATTATAAAATTGTGGTATATTATGTTCAATGTAATTTTATATTTTACTTAATTATTAATAGATATCGAGATATTATTGTGATTAGATCTGCTAAATATCAATTACTCAACTGGCAACACATCACGTCAAACTGACCTGACGTTGTTGACAAGTGATCTATTTCCACAACAAATAGCACGTTATTTATTTTCTCTCGCCGTGCCGATACCATCAAAGTTCAGTTATATATCTAGGGTTCCATTTAAATAATGGCTAATCGCAACTGGGGCTTCTGTGATCTGTCTGTTAGCAAAAATTTTGAACCTGATAAATTACATCTTATAGAAAAACTTGGTTTTAATACCATTGCTATCAATTCACATGTTGAGGAACCATCGGACGAGCCTAAAAAGAAGAAAAAGAAAGGAGAAACCAGGGATAAGAAAGACTACGTACCGCCACCACCATCAGTTATTAAAGATACTAGTTCAAAACTCAATATTTTACAGAGGGTAACTATTGAATTTTCCGACTCTAGTATATCACACAAAATTAATCAATCTGAAAATCTTAAACAGTATGATATAATTGCTGTGTTACCTAAGACTTTACAAGCATTCCAGTATGCTTGTGCCTCTATGGATATAGATATAATAACTTTTGAACCGGAATGTAGAATTCCTTTTAAAATAAGCCGAAAACTGTACACACAAGCAGTTGACAGGGGTATATTCTTCGAAATAATGTACTCACCAGCTATAAGAGATTCAACATGCAGAAAGAACATTATCAGCACTGCACACATATACCATGCAGTCGGAAAATCAAGAAACATAGTGGTGACCAGTGGAGCTGAGAATTACATGCAAGTAAGAGATGTGCATGATGTTATCAATTTGGGATTTCTACTGGGGCTAAACAGTAACGAGAGTCTTGAAGTTGTGCGGAACAATGCAAGGCGACTTATCCTGAAAGCGGAGGCCAGGAAACATGGTAAACATTATATACTTGTTGATTCAATAAATGATGACAGTAAAATGTCTGAAGATTAAACTGTGTACATAATTTATTATTTTTACAATCACAATATTTACAATCATACCAATAAATACAGAATAACTATATTAATTCATCACAGATATTGCAGTGGAGACACATCTCATATTAAATTATATACATAATACATGTTTTATAGATAATTATTTTCCATGAGTTACAGGCATCAAGTCTAGGATTTAGGCTCATTTTTGTGTTTCAGAAACTTTGCGAAATAGAATGGAAGCAATTATTTCGAACAAATATTAATTTACACAGCCATAATGATAAAGGATATCATTATGGCTGTGTAGTTGTAGAACATACAAACTAGAAAAGAACCAAAAAAAATTGCTTGTCCTTCAAGGTATCATCGCACTTGCCTCGCGCATTCTCGAGAATTCCCCTGACTCCGACGCTGTCTGTAGAATCCAGTGGAGGGAGTAGAGAGTTAGTTGGATAGGTGATAGGTCCCAGCAATAAGCTGCCAAGAATCTTACACGTTATGTTACGAGGTGAAATTGAAGCTTCCATTCCATTCCGCGTCGGCGTAAATTGAGAGTTTTACTCTTATAAAAATGTAAAGATTACTCTTGTTTGATTGCAAATAGATTGTTTATGAATAAAGTTTCATTACTTTGCTATCACATTTTTGCCTTATTATAATGTATAAAAGTAATTTGATTGCTTCGCTGTTGTATTTGTGCAAGCTTATGACAAGTCTTATCACATTCATCATCACATAAAATGCATTTTTAAACAATTAGGGCCGATTTTTCAATCAAATCTTAATTTTTAGCAGTAGAATAAAATAGAATGTTTTATAACACGCGTTTTTAACACTAAAAACCCCACACTAGGAATTTCGCTTGTCGCGGTCGCGTTTCAGAACATACAATTTCACATCCACTGACACCCAAACCCGGAACAAGAACTTATAGATCATACAAAGAGTTGTTCCGTGCTCGAATCGCACACCCTGACATGCTGCGCGGCAGCCGGTTGCCCAGCCATTGTGCCAACTGTACAGTTCAGTTGTTAAAACTACAAAAAGATTCTTCCAATTTAATTAGGTAGGTACCTGGCGTTTAAAAAATCAGCCCAATGAATCTTTCACATTTTTTAAGGTGTTCAATAAAAATTGGAGGCAAGGCAAGCAATAAAATTTGCACTCAATAGATATTTGAGTGCAATATACAGTCAAATCCATAACTTAAATCTTTGCCCTAGACTTTGGTTTATTTTGAATAGCGATTTAACAGGACATTTTTTTCTAATTCCACATAATATTATTATCACCACCATCACTTGTCACTTTGTCTTGGCATCTTCAGTGTCAACATTTTCAAGCTTCTCAGGAGCTGGGCTTCTTTCTAAAGATGCTTGTGTTGCATTTAATGCAGTTTTTGGAACTACTTTGGGCCTTGTTTCCTCTTGGAAAGTGAAAACATCTGCAATCCACCTGAATCTAAATCAGAGTAAGGTTTTTTAGAACATGTTTTTTAAACAAACCTAATGAGACTGAATAAATACTTATAATAATAAAAGCAGAAGCTATGTTGTACAAAAGCATGACATCTTCCAGCAACCAGGAGAAAGCAATGAAATAGGTTAATAACAATATCTAGGCGCTGCTATCACTACTAGGGGAGGCATTACAACTTACGGGCAAAAATAAAAAGGACCACATCAATTTTTATTATGTATTGTTTCAAATGCAATCTCAACATTTGGTACAAGTTAATACAAAATGTATAAAATCCGCACACTAAATATAATTATTCTACTCACAAACAATCGAGATTCACACACAAGACTTATATAAGCGCCCTAATAATGCTTGTTCTAAGTACATTACAGAATAATATTACATATTTCATTCTTGTGGTGTGTTCTAGTATAATTAATGATAGATTGTAGCACCACTGGCATTATTTCGTCAACTATATACATTAACATTTATTTTTAACACACTAGATACATGTTGCTACATTATTATGTGTTATAAACTCTCGTAAGGAAACTGAAGTTTGCGCATTAGTAGTATGTAAATAATATCTGATGAAATAATTGAAATGGTTAGTTGTTGGAGAACATTTACAGTTAATATGCTGAAGCTTGCAAGAGATCCCCTGCAACAGAGATCTGATAGACTAGAACAATGTATTGTATCTGTTAGCCTCGACATGTCAACCACAAGAAATTAAAAATGATATTTCATCACCATTATAGGGTTAATTGTGTGATGTAAAATTGAGCAACAAAAGCTTACATAAATCTATAGTTATTCTAAGAATAAAAACAGTCTTCAATGTCTTTTATAAATTTAAAATCACTGCGAAATATGAATGCACAGCGCAAATCAAAAGAAATTGAGACAAGATAAAAATGTGGCTCTAAATATAACAGAGTCCCATAATAATACATTACAACTTCATGGCAATAATCTTACACAAATGTTAAATTTAAATTATATTAAAATTAATTATTGTAATTCATCCAGTCACATTTAGTAATTACATAGACGTAACGAAATAAAATAAATAATCTCCTGTTCCTAATCATAACTTTAACAAATTCAGTCTCATTGGCAATAAAAAATTCAAATTTATTCTAGCGAGTCTTTCCTCAAAAACTTTACAATATTACAATTTACAGATAGTAATTATGACACAATTTTCATATTATAAAATACTAAAATAGGAACCGAAACAAATAGAAGTTATTTATTGGTAGAAAATAAATGCAATAATCTTATTAATAAAATCTACCATATTGGTAATGATTAATATTGTTGTTTTTACTATTTTTATTAATTTGTCATTTTCTCTAGTGAACACTTATTATTAATACATGTATGCAATTAATTAATTATTTAAACAAATACCTACTAATTTAATTATTAATAATACCTATTGACTGTCATTTTGTTTATTACATTACAAATTCTTGTGTGTTCGAAACATTTAAAAGAGAAGACATTATTTTACAATACAATCCACATGCTCTAAATTTTTATTTGTGCAATTCGATATAAATATAAACCAACAATACTATTTTCTGCGCTAGTTACGATAACATTAAGGGCTAATGAACCAGATCTGTGAAGAATGTTACCAATTTCTTATCGCAAACTTATTTATTAAGACAGCCGTATTGGTCGGGGCTGTGGGGAGCGCAGCGTGGGCTGGTGGCAAACGTATGAGAGCTTAGGGAGGGAGACGCTGGTTCAGTTGTTGAGGAAAGAGACGCAGTGCGCGACCGTGTTGACATTTTCCACCAACCTGTTGTACAGCTCACGCCTCACGCTAGCCGTGAACTTGCTGACAAGGCACAGCGTCACCGTGCCCGCGAATATGGCATTGTATAACAGAACCAGCTTGAAGTTCCCCAGCCATTCGATGCGCCCAAATTCACCCAGCAAATCGAAGTTCGTTATGCCTGGTCGAAACAAAATGAAACATTGTTATCAGAAAAATACGTGTCGTATCGTAAGTATTGAGCGTGAATTCTTGTTTAGTAGTGTTACATTTTGAGATTTTGAATAAGAAACGATGAGTAATAGGAAGAATTTGCAAAAAGGCTTAACGTCGGTATTATGTAGGTACTATGGAATCCTGTAGTAGAAATATCTTTCTATTATTCCTCTCGAGAATGGTTAGTTTACGGGATAATAATAAAGAGATGCATAACTTAGAACAATAGCATTTTTAAAAGTAAATAAAATATGTCGTAAACATGGCATCATACCGAGCATCTTGACGAGTAGTGGATGCGCAGTGGAGTACGCGAGGAGTAGCGTGCAGTGCGCGATGATGCGCGCGAGCGGCGTGCGGCGCGCGCGCGGCAGCAGGCGCAGCGCGCGCAGCGGCGTGCCCAGCCCCGTCAGCGACGCCGCGTACAGGTACACGATCAGGAACGCCTCCAGCACCGCGCCCGCACACCCCAGCTTCGACAGCGACGCTATGCCCAGCGTGAATTGCTGCAACGTCATTATTATTATTACATTAATTAAGATTCATTCGTAATTCTTATGCAATTTCCGATAAGCGCACGTATCTAATTGATTCTTATTGAATTATGAATCGCAATAACATGCAATAAGTTGTAATTTCTGTAGTCGAATTAAGTTAGGATTTAAAACACGTTAATAATAATAATTAAATTTCACTCCGCATTTATATTTCTATAATTTCCTAGGTTTTATTTTAAAGTACGTTTGTTTGCTAAAAATCGAAGTTCAAAACCATCTGTCATAGATTTACAGATTTAAACCAGAGGAAAAAGAAACTTAATTGGATGCTATTGCAACTTAAAGCAAGCTAGAAAGTGTAAAATATTGTTAAAATAATACTGACCCGTGTGCTAAGTGGCAATGCTTTGATTCCGATGAGCAGTTCGAGCGTGTTCTGCAGCACCATGAGCACTGTGATGGTGGTGAGTGCTAACAGTAACAACATCGCCAGTGGGTACACCACGTTGCGTTGAAGGGACGATGTCTTGCGTTGACCCTCTACCTCCTAAACAAGCAAAAAGGTTACATTAACCACAATATTATGAAAATAATAATTATCATTGTACAACAACAATTAACGAACCTTGTTCAAGACACGTGAATATGACCGAACCTACATTATTTCAAAATGTGGAAAATAGGCAATAGACATACCATTCGGTTATCCGACGTGTTTGTGTAAATCTACATAGATACTAAATCGCCTACTTGGCCGACATCATAATGATATTTTATCCCTGATAAAATATTACTTAAAAGGTCCTACACAATGGACAACAATGTGACACTAATAAACCACTTACTCATTTAGCACTAATGTCTTTAAAATAATGTAAACATAATTTTTAATACAATACAGCAAAAGTAACAAGTCACCTGTGTGCATCTGCAAAAACTTGTTTTTGTTACTAACTGATAAGTTATTATTATTACGCATTTTCGAAAGACAGAAGACGATGACCTGCGAGCACAGCTTTGTCAAATCGATCGATCAATGAACCGCTGGAATACTCAGGATAGTACGAGTACGACGAACAATGGCCGGTAGTCATACCTCGCATCAATTTATAATTAACCATTAAATTTTTATTATCAGCAGAACAGGAGTATATTTCCAGAGGAAAAATATTTTACTTAATCGAAATAATGGCACGCGCACACTGCTCAGATTCGCAACTATTAGGTATTATTGAACTTCAAAAATCCTGAATTATTCCGCTGCTGCTGAGCTATCGTAATTTACCAATCTATCTCGTATTAAATCTACCTAAAGCAAGATTTATGCTTATTAAACCTTTATCTAAAATCCTGGCTACCTCGTTGGCCAAGTGGTCGCAAATGCGACTGCTGGGCAAGGGGTCTCAGGTTTGATTCCCGGGTCGGGCAAAGTACAATTAGGTTTTTAAAAAAAAAATCAGTGGTAGCACGGAGTCTGGAGTTGTACCCGTTTCTCACCCCCTATTACATGAGACTTATAACATAAATAGTGAAAAGTGGGTGTTACATTGTACAGTAGCATGTGCCGTAATACGCACCTCTGCCTACCCCTTCGGGATAAAAGGCGTGATGTTAAGTTATGTTGTCTAAAATTTTCACACAATTCGCATCCATCTACAAGGGTTAATGTCCCCAAAGATACACCTATTTCTTCCATTACTCTTCTTAATACACTCCTTTTACTTCAATAATAACAAGAAAATTGAAATAGCGTACAAGTCTTCAGAGTTCTTACCTTCCTCATAGCCACGACTCTGTGCAGCCTTTCGTTCAGTCCGGCTTGAAGGGCGCCATTCCTCAGACGAAGCAAGGGTGTCTCCTTGCCCCGTTTCTCGGCAGCTCGTTGGCTGTCCTTCGATATTGACACATCAGCGTCCAATGGGGCCGATATGTCACCGCGGTCAGGGTACATGGGCTCGGGGGATATGTAGCCCACTCCTGAAAAAAATAAATAAGTATTCTTAAATACTACATCACACATTTTCCTGCCTGAAATACTGAGCCGCAACAGAATGGTGCAGTTACTTTTCCTCCTTAACCCTTAACCGGAATCGTGGGTCCGTTCGGACCCGACGTCGATGAAAAAAGCGTTTATTTTCGAAACGCGCGCACCAACACTATTGCGCGCCTACCTAATCTCATTAGGTCGCTAGATGCAGCGGGTGGCGGACACTCGGCGCTTTAAATTCACTGGAAGTGTAAGTTTGAGCCATCGTTGGGTCCGATCGGACCCACGATTCCAGTTACGTTACTTTTTTTCAATGTGTTTATATTTATTATATTATTGTATTAGACACTTTTTTGAAAGAAAGAAAGAAAGAAAAAACATTTATTTGGCAATTACACGCACAGAAAACAAAGAATATAAAAAATAAAAATACATAATATAAGTAAACAAAATACTAATAATAAACTTACAAGAATACAGATCAGAACAGAAAACATCACAATATAACAAAATAATAAAACGATAATAATAGAATTTTTAATAGACAATAAAAAAAAAGCAATTTCTAATAAACAAAATAATAATATTAATTTGCGCGTGCTAATGCCAAAAGGGCCTCCACCTCAGCATATGGTTGGACGTTTGTGCCCAACGCTGGTTTTCAGGTGGCACCCTGCAGTGACTCACGGACGGCGGTGCCGCCCCTCAATGAGGACAGAAAATAAACATGAAATTATATAAATTTTGCTGAAATGTGCATGTGTGTGTGTGTGTGTGAAAAATTGTGAATAGAATAATATATATATCCGATAGTACATGTATATACATACGAACAAAATGTAAAAATGCAATTACCTCTATAAGAGGTAGTCACTTTTGACGTATACTCTTTTTGTTTTTAAATTAATTGTGGGTTGTTTCACATTTTTGATTGTCAAACAAAGATAGTTTTAGTGACAACTCTGCTGAGCTCCGATTCATTCCGACGCGTACCCACAAAGAAACAGCCGCCGGCCTCTGGCCACAGGACACAAAAACTCCAGCATAGTTTACGAGTGGCGGAATGATCACAATTAAAACACAATTATTAAAATAATGGCGAGGCACATTAAAACAATACTCACACGCCGAGCACCCAACCAACACGCAAAGACTTCCAAGTTGGCATCTAAAAGTAAGTATAATTTGAATAAATTGGAACAATAAACTGAAATTAGATAAAAGAATTGTCAATATTAATGTCGTTAAATTTAATTTGGGATGTCAAAATAAAAGTTTTTAATTTTAACCTAAACGTGTTTTTATTTTTCAGATTTCTAATTGGTGGTGGAATATTATTCCAGCACTTGGAAGCCGCGTAACGGAAGCTGCCTCGAAAAGCTGCAGTTCTATGCCGAGGAATAGCGAGTTGCTGTGCACACCGCCTACCCTCACGCTCCCGGTGACTGTTAACCCATTCAAACCTACATAAGTGACAATGAAAATCCGGAGCATGGAGCCACTGATCACACAAGTGAGTCTTCGTCTGCCCACAATGTCGAAGAAAAAAGTTAGGATGATACTTCATTGTCGTCTAACACTTACTTCAGAGGAAAAAATAGATATACCTAAGTGTATACCACTTAGACACCACCTAGCAGCTCTAGAATAGTTTGTAGAATTGTACTCTAGAAAAGAATAGGTTGTCATTTTTTTTAGTTTAAATTGATCTCACAAATAATTTATTTTTTTGTTAAGGGGAAGACACGGAAAACCCCTTAGAAGTGTTAAATTTGTTTTTTATTTTGTTTTTATTTTTGTTTTAGACGGTCAAAGACGACACTAAAAAAAGATTACCAAATTTAATACCTAAGATATAAAGTACAATAAATGGGATATTTTCCACATTTTAATGAATAAAAGTTGATTAATATATTACTTAAAACTTGTTTCAATTATGACGTTAACTTACCTAAGTGGAAAATTCAACATTTTAGAATAAAATAAGGAATTTAATTCTTGGGTCCGATTGGACCCACGATTCCAGTAATGTAGAACATTTTACCGATTCCGGTTAAGGGTTAAAGAAAAAAACAATAAAACTAAATGGGGGCATCGAATCCAAGTCACTTAGAAGTTATTTAAAAAAATTGAAATACGTCAAAATATTAGAGGCTATCTCTATAATGTCTAAATTAAACTGAACTAATCCTATTCTAGCAAATCTTAACACTGAAAGCCCTCATAAAATAAGCTAGGACTTCTAGCAAACATAAACAAACGTATCTGTTTTGTATCTTTCATCTTATTTGTTTAAAAGATAACACGATAAACAACTATTAATCTTTAGAAAAAAAAGAAAACTTTGTGTTTGATTTTTTAAGGTAAACATTTTTACAGACAAGTCTGTCGGTTTGTGTTTGCGCTCGAGCTCGTTCACGCCGCGTTCATTAACCGATTCATTCACGGTTGACATAGTTCTTGATAACCTCTTTGCAGAATTAAAGACCTACTTGGAGTATTTTTAACAAAGAATATTTAAAAAGTAAACGTGGTCTAAAGGTTATAATCAACTATAGTTTCGTTTGTCACATCACTACATTGTGTAAAACAAAGCCGCTATCCGCCGTCTGTCTGTCCCTATGTATGCTTAGATCTTTAAAACTACGCAACAGATTTTGATGCGGTTTTTTTTAATAGATAGAGTGATTCTTAAGGAAGGGTTATATGTATAACACATGCATATTCCACCCGTACGAAGCCGGGGCGGGTCGCTAGTTAAGAATAAAGCAGTGTATCACCCAAGAGGTGGTGTTAGTCGATTGACAATAAATACATAATAATGGTTCAGTTACAATCACACAATTGTACCTTGACATCCAAATTATGTAACAAAAAGGCCATGAAGTTATACCCAGTGTCCAAAGTAAACTAACTAATATATATACATCTTCTTAGTAAACTCACAAAAAAAATATTTACACGATTACGAGTAGAGCAAAAACTTAATAATTCTTACCTGCCTTTAATTGGCTGGGTAACGCTAACTTATAGTTAAGAACAAGCTATGCAAAATTATTTTTTTGTGTCAGAATCATTGACGTGAAATCAATTATGTTGTTGTTTTGTTTTAATATTTTAATTTAAACTTTAAAACTGTGATCAACGTACAAAACTGTTTATTTTTAAGGATAAAGCACATATAGAAATACAAAACCTCATATTTATTAAATGCAAAGTATATATACGACCTCAAATCCAGTTGCATTTTTTTGTTTTCTTTTTATGGCATACAGAAATTTTATTTTAAAAAACAAAAGTCAATTTTGTATCAATAAGAATGATTCATAGTTTATTTTTAAAACTCCTAAATAGGTTCTTAGCACCTATTTATCTACACACATAGAATTAGGATGTTAATGTCTAAAAAATAATGACCAGTAGATAACGTAAATTAACCGAATACCCAATAAGTTACATATTAAATACCATTAAGTATAAATATTAAGTTCCAGTCTCTGCCTACCCCCATGGGAGACAGGCGTGAAGTTATGTATGTATGTAAGTATAAATATTTGTAGGAGTTAAGTCAAGACAAGTAGCAATCGTGTAATGTTTGTAAATAATACTTATTGTTGGATGGGTCACCGAGTTTCGTATTGATCTTATTAGGTACTATCGTTACGTAGTTTATTCATTTGCCATTGAACATATGATTACGTTTTTTGTGTATTTGAATAACTGTTATTAGAGTTTTTAAGGTGGGAAAATCATCGAATGACTGCCCCCGCCTGGGTGAGGTGGGAGGGAGTGTTAGACTCTTACTGACTAAAAACCACCCCGTTCCTTCTCCTGCGCTTCGAGCTGGGGCCCCGGTAACCCGTTAGGTTCTCCACGACGTTATTAGAGTTTAGACCCGTTACAAGAGAAAACTTGCTTTTATAGTAACCACGTTGAAGATATTCGTAGATATAGAGAGGAATAGTTAACAATTTAAATTAACTAAAATTGTTAAGAAACTAACCATCACGCTAACATGATAAATCTTGTAAGTAAAAAACGTTTAGAGGGAAAAGAGCAACCCTTGCTAATAATATAGGTTCATTATTACTTCAAGAAAACAGTCGAAAATTTAAAAGAAATAGGTTATAAATATAATGGACATTTATCTATTTTATTAGTCTCTACACCTACGACACGAAACAGTCCTACATGAAAATCTATTCTTTACGAGACCCGCACAATTTAAAATCTCATTATCCAAAAATACGATTCTAAAATAAATGTTGATATCTACGAAAATATCACTGCACCGATTTACGTGGTTGTTACCGTCAAATCTTGGCTCATTTAGTTGTACTGTCGTAAAAATCGTAAGATGATGTCGGACGATGGAATGTACACTTGATGAAACATTATTATACCTAGCCTCAATTAGTCGCACCCGAAACGTCTATCATTTAGTGACCGGTGTCACATGGCGAATATCAAACAAATTGATGGACTCATTACATAACGACCGTGCGTGTTAACCGCACGTGACGATCAGGTAAGATTTACTGCAAAATGTCACGGTACAGTAAAATATTGATTAAACTTCCAAAGTAAATGCAATCATGCTCAATGTTTTGAAATAGTGTGTAGAGCTTATGCCGTAAACACCTACTAGGCACCTACGAAACAATCTAAACATAGGTAGCTAGAATTGAATATTACGGAACGCAAACATTCATTCTAACGAGCAGACTTAACCGGGATAACCTTTATAATAATTATTTCCAAGATTAAACAGCTGATGACTTCACGACCACATCGAATACACCGTACAAAGCTCATTGAAATAGCCTCAAACAGTTGAAACAGTTGATATGCCTCGTAAGATAAAACAAACAATTGTTTAGGAAGCATTATCCATGTTAATAGAATCTCAATTAGCTGTATCGTATGAGGTAACTGCTAACACAATCTAATTGTGGCCGTGCTCCATTCATAGCGAGGTAATTATCTGTTCGTGCGAAATTCTTTTACGCGATATATTGAGATTTATATCAGATCATACGTAGTTCTATGGGGACTGCGTATAAATACACAATGATTAAGTTCTTTGTAAGAATGATATTATAACTAAGAATTACTAAACAAATAGCTACATTCGCACAAGCACAGGCTTGCTTACCGCCTGGATTATGGTCTCTAACTCTACTCCAAAACCCAACAAACCCTATGTAATCCCAGTAACTGAGAAGTTAAGAAGTTAACAAGAATATTTAGATAAGCGTGAAGCATAGTAATTATTGACGTTATCACCCATCACTTAATTGAAAGTTCTGCGTACGTGACATAGTAGTGGGTAAATACAACACCCCTCTTAATGAATATGATACCTATATACAAATACCATTAACTTGATTGAATGAACCACATGGAAAAGAAAAATGTTCTAATGATATTGTGCCCCGTTTGTTTTGCAACTATGTAGAACTAGAAACTCAAGAAACAATGACTACACGCACACGGTGCTACCAAATAGATACTCGTACCTACTGTTTAAACAAACACTACCTACTTATCTTGTAACAAACAGATAACAACAAAACAATACAAACCCATAAAATGTCACAACTGTTTGTAATTTGTACCAACCCTGTACTGATTTTCCGTTCCTAAATGTCGTAGCTTAATGATACGCAACGACAACGACCTTCAAACGAATCAATTGCGAAAAGAATTCGAGAAAACGAACAGCTAATTCGTAATAGAAGCTCTTCAAACAAAAATATGTAGCTTCATAAATAATTAGGTAAAAATAGACGATGCTAATGTACCTACTGTTAGCATTTCCGCACGCGATTTTAAAACGAATGTTTTAGGAAGGTCACCTCGTCAGTTCGTGAGGTTAAGCCCGTCACATCGATGTAGGAAGAGAATACAGCATCATTACACGCATAGGTTAATGTATGTATCCTTGTACACGTACAGATACTGTGATAGTGTTTGTGAGTTTGGTTTTGGCTACTGCATTGTTTAGTTAACCTTCTACCTATCAGATAGCATAAATCATTGCGATGTACTGTTAACTTTATTTACATTCGTGTTACGTTACGGTACATACCGAAACATATTCCTGCGCAGTTCACAATTTACATACGTCGAATAATTTTTCAGAATTTTCTTGCGTCCTTATTTACTACGACACAACGTTCAGAATTGATCATAACTTGTATACTTAAATAACTACTTCTTCAAACCCTTATGCCAAGCTAGTACTTGGGGGGGGTACAATACGTCTTCTTTATCCAGTCCTTCTTATCAGACTTCATCATATGTGAATATAATAATACTTATTTAGGTACTTTATTTACAAAACATAAAAAGTTGATCTGACAACATCTCGAAATAGCATAGAGTTCGAGGACATTCAACTGATACAGAACTTGTGTATAAACTTGAGAATATGTTTACCTGTAGAGACAGCATTGTTGATACGCCGCCTGATAGTGTCCTCTTCGAAAGAGTACACGTAGTACTCCTCGTTGAGGTCCCTGAGGAACTGAGGCTTGACGAGCACCCCGCCCACCACGCCGAACAATCTCACGAAGCCGAGCGGAGTGAATACTGCAAACAATATTGTTATGAGTGGAATGTCTATCGAATATCTCGATTGATTAATTTAAGAGCTATGTCTTATATCATCTCCCATTTTAAACACAACATGCCGGTCGATTAATTTGAATGAATAGTCTGACTATAGTTGTAATTCTAATTTTATCGTCTTCATAGTCATTGGCAGGTCATCATTCATTGTGCTTGCGACCTAGTCAGAATCCTACACGTAGGTATACTATATAAACTGTGTCACATTAATTCGTACGCACTACGCAGTCGCAATTCTAGAACTAATTAACCTGAATATAGTCATATAGGAATATAGTCAACCTACTGTTTAATTGAGTCTTATTATATTTTTGGGCCATAGCGCGCTATGCAAATAAAGTTTAAATGTCTCCGACATTTAAACTTTAGTCGTCACCTGCAACTAATGAGCTCCGTCACATTTCAAACATTCTTTAAATACAACAATTAGGTCGCATGATAATTTCAAGACCTCATATTTTAAAGCTTTGCAGTTTGAATATAAATAAAGAGTGGACCCACCCGCCATAAAAGGAATATTGAAGTACATACATAATTGGATGAATGGCCTATATAATTCTGATTTATGCGAAAGTTGCCAAAATCGCTAATCTATACCGCATCAAACAGTTGAATATTAATTAGTTTGGTACGTAACTAGTCAGTTTTTGTTTGTAAATCTTATTTGTCATAGGTACCTACGCAAAAACTTTTTTGAATGCAGCAAGCGGCACACCACAACCATTAACATTGATATTAAGGCAATAAAAAACAAGGAAGCATAATAATATGTTGAGAGTACTACACAGTGTACACATGTCGTTATATTTACCAGTCGGAAACATTTCTATTTTACCTTGACTTAAATATAGAATCGACTAGAACATAAAAACGCGGCCGAGACCGAGACCGTAACTTACAAACGTAAGATTATCTGCACACTGACGTACATTAAACAGAATAATAAATATTGATCATCAACATCACGCTGGATAAATATAGACAAACTCAAGAAATTAGTTTTAATTCCACGAGTCGCTTGTCATTTATTTTCGTCTATGTTTAACCTGACAACGGTTGCTATGATAGCTGTTACGTCAATAGAGACAGTTTGTAAACAAGCTGATCGTAAACGTTTTTTGTCAATTTGTTATTAAATATATATTCATACGACAATGAGTATTCTTAAAAACCCTGCTATGAGAGACCAAAAATCGATAGAATTGGATGAAGAGTTCAACAACTTCATGAAGAAAGTTGGCGAAGTATCTAATCTTGTGAAAGACATGGCTAGTGGGGACAAAGTCAAGGCAGAGGCAGCTAAGGTTCTTGCTGACCAGTACTTAGACGGGAAAGTTATTCTCGACGACGACGTCAAACTGAAAGTGAAACAAAACCGCACTGTGATCAATCAGAAGGCGTTTCATAACCTCGGGAAAAAAGATGAGGTGGGCAGCTGACACTATTTTGGTATCCTGCGACAAAAATAACTATTTGTATTGATGTTTTTAAACCCACACAAACATATCCTGTTTACACCCTTCATTATATCACAATAAAGCTTATTCCCCAACGTTTCTAGCGGTAGGGATGCCGAGGGAACTACACAAAACTGGTTTAGAAGTTGAAATATCTAGAAGTTATTTCAACGATCCTGTTTTGACGGCAAAGTACAATTCTGTTTCACAATACCAAATAATTCCATTACTTGGCTGTCGTCTCTTACCTAATTCCTATCATGGAATTAGGTGTAATTCGATATCGTTTAATTTCATTACTCAATACCTAAATAAAGTAGGTTATCAGAAACACACCTGGTTATGTGTTTGTTACAGCAAATGCGTGAACCATTACTATACCTAGTGTCAAGTAGATATGCACATTACAAAAAACTACGCAACAAAATGTTATGTAAATATTTACATGTATTATTGCAAACGACGATAGAACAACAACAACATGCCAAAACCGTTCACGTGGGTCTGTAATTAGGTCGTCAAAACTCTGAATAGAATTGATGATGTAATATTTGAGGACCTACGTCTACGTGGTATCTTAAGGCGAAGAGTCTACACTTGCATCTGTGTACGACGTCATGTAATGCACTTTCCTGATAGACTACTAAATGCGAAGTGCACGTACGGCATTATATTATCAGTGAAAGCAATTTGGCTCGCGTTTCTCTATAAATAAACATCCACCTCGTGGTGATACTCTTGTTCTTTTCTATTTGCAGTGCTAATAGAAATATTCATGTAATGTTTACATATATTACGATGAGCTTCGCTGTCTCACCAACATGCATTATTGATCTCTAAATAACTTATATGACAAGACTAGATTACACTGCACCTAATGCCTTAGTAATTGATTGTTTATGTTCCTACGCACATACGAGGAAAAATGGTTTCTTGTGATCTTGAGTTTACTGAGATCTATATATATGAACAATAGGATCATGAATAGTTTTATTCAAATAAATATAGACTGTCTTGTAAGGTGTACTGACTGTTCTAGGTTTGTATAAGGAATGTGTTAAAATACCGTTTGTGACAATTCGGTCAGTAGAACACAACATCGTGACAGCGCTGCTGTCAATAAATATACTCTATCAATTATTACGACTCCGTAAATACATATCAGAAGTTCAATGACAAATATTTGCGAATTTACATTAGTTATCGAACGACAAGGTCATTGTCCTTCAAATTAATCTACTATAATCTAATTAAAATGATTCACATTGAAACTAATTTATAGATAAAAATATTGATAATTTTAGGCTACCTTCAATTCCTCATTTTAATTCCTAAATCCTTCTTTTACGTCTAGTTTTAAACATATTTGTGTAAGTAACTAAGCACTAAGCAGCTGAAGGACATTAAACATCAACGATAGTAGCTGTTTACTGTGTGCCTATAAGGTACTTATTAATGTAAAGTATAATTACTTAGGCCGTAGTAGCAAAATTAATTAATTTATAATAGACATTACCTACCTATCTTAGAAATAATATGACATTTCTTTATAAATAAAAAAGTTTTTTGTGCAACAACTTTTCTTTTCATAGGCGCCATGTATGTTAGGTACCGAGATATTTATTATTTTGTCTTCACTGAGGTCATGGATCTATCTGCATGCCCATCTAAATGCACTCTGTATCTTTTTCGTGAAAGACTGATAAACGTGTCCACAATTAATCAATCCGTCATTCTATCTACGTCGTTCACAGCTTTTACTTTAATTGCCTCTAGACTTAATGTATACGTATGATAATGGATTTTCTATATGTAATCAGTTGATGTATTACGCAGGTACCTATCTATGTAGACTAAAATTTATTTTTAAATATCACCAGGGTGAGGTGGATAAAGAATCATGGATGGCCGAAGTGAGCAAGGATGCGGAAAAACGCTACCAAGAGCGGAAGGTGCGTCGCGAACGAGCTGATACGTTCAAGACCCAAGCCATCAAGGCATTCCGCCGTCACGAATATGACAGAGCTCTTTCATGCTACAACAAAGCCATAGAACAAGTGCGCGATGACCCCATGTTGTACTGTGATCGAGCACTCACTAAAATCAAACTAGAAAAATTCGACACGGTCAGTATAGACACGTACCTATAAAACGTAGACTTTTATTTTATAGGCAACCCTGTAAATACTATTTTGGATGAGGTCAAAGTTCATAGCGGCCACGTTTATTCCTAGTGCGGCTAGTGCAGACAAACGATCCACGCATCCATTACCTACATTTTAATTATAGATTCAATAACATCTGGTTGCTATATTGGCGTCTAATGGCATCGTTAAACGTAAATGGTCGTACACCGTTTTCGCCATTAACTTTTGCATTGAGATGTGTCCAGAGCGGCCATTGTCCTAGATCCGCAAAGCAACAGACTGATTATTGTATTTAAATAAACGTGGGGCACGAAGATAAAATTGATATTATATTTATGTTAAAATGTAAACGAGACTTATCTAGAAATGAACAAAATATTATCTACATGGTTAACACAAGGACCGGCTCTTTAAAAGATATAATATTAATACGATTATCGCATAGATAACTTCAATAATGATTTATTTGGGAACCAACTAGACTGTTTTGTACAGGAAAAGTCTTAGGATTTGTCGATTCTTTCATTTTAATTATTCACTAAATTATCTATGTAAAATATATTGAAATTTCGTTTTTGCATGGCTCACATTCGCACACTAATGCTAATCAGTTATACTATATTTACCTTCAAGTTCAATAAAATAAATTATGTTCCTTCACGCTATAACTGAAGTTCATTTAAGGTGATACATTTGTCCAAGTCGTTTAATAAATAAGAGTCATTATTATTATTGTACGAATATTATACACGCATTTGTTTGAGTGAAGCACACAGCAATTGATTGTAATATGTACGTTTTTTATATTTACTTAAAAACTATAATATGTTCGTTACCATTGATGAACTTTCTTAATTTTTAATACGCAATAACTAGAAACTTACATCAGACAAATTGAACAAATAAATGTCTGTGGCTGATATTGTTTGCAGGTTAACGTCATTTTATTTCGTTAGCATCTGTCTATGTGTACTTTTGCAAAAACTTTCTTAACAAGAAGTGCGGGATAGGCAGAATTATATAAGTGCCAAAGTATATATTGAAACTGCACTTGGCATAAATAGATAAAATTCCACTCTTGACAGGTTGCCAGCACATCGGCTTTCTACGGACACATTATAATATACTGCGTATGAAATGCTTGCTATTACAGGTGTTCGGTGATTGCGACTTAGCACTGCGCCTCAATGAGAATAGCTTCCGAGCGCGCCTCTATCAAGCTAAAGCACACAAGGAGTTAGAGGAATGGGACAAGCTGGAAGAGTGCAGGAAACAATTAGACACCATGTTTCCACAGCACGCGGAATTAGTGCACGGGTATCTGGACAAGGAAGAAGCTTACGACGACGCAGCTGAATCCGAATAGAATAGATTTTAAATATTTGTATGTCCCCAAAAAGGTTATTTATTTACTTTTAGGTTCCATATGTTTATTTACTATTTTTTGCTAAACATAATTACAATGTGGCCGACGACACGATAAGACACGTCATAGCCATGTTTATATTGTTAATGTACTCACGTGTATTCTTAGTCAATAAAGTTTTATTGGTTCTAAAAGATTATGGCTGGTTTAAATGCTCGTTATCAGTGCAGTCATATCGATAAACTATTAATATACTGCTCTACTTTACACACTAATCGATTACGAACACTGAATAGATGTCAATGGTCACAATATTATATAATATAAGTAGTTCTTTCTAAGATCATCATGAAATATGCCTATTATAAAAAAACTCAGTACAGATATTTCTGATCCTATTGAAAAAGCATCTGAGTTCGATGCACTCTACCTTCACTAACGACTCGTAACGAAATAAACAGAATGTAATAATTAGAGGTCAATGTCTGCGGAGTGCCACTTCGTGACGTCATGTAACTTAAAGCTTCGATAGACCTTTGTGCAAACAAACAAATATTCATAGAATTGTTGATAATTCGCATGCAGAACATGCACCGTGCACATGCACACGAGGAATGTAAGAGTAATATTATATACGCAGTCAAACAGTCGCTTGATCATGTGCAGTTGCAGTTTGATAGAAAAGTTGCATAGAACTAGTGTATCAAGTTTTTATAATAAAGAAAGCAGTCAAGCTAACGACCGCTCCATTGCAGCACTGTTAACTGATAAGCAATTTAAAGACATTGTCAATTACGAAATAATCGATAACGTATCAGAAATTATGTTAATGACTCACCTAGTAACATAAGAACTCCAACGAACGACACACAGGAATACAGGAAAGGTAGGTATGTCCACAAATCTGTGAGCAAACAATGGCAAAATGTTAATAATACTAATTTAACATACAATACAACACAATACATTTGACACGCATCATAGGCTTGACTTTGATGGCCAGGGCTCCGGAGCAGCTCACGTGTGACGGGCATAGCAATCAGGACATCGCACATTTATCTGCAATTTGTGCATAGATGCAACGAATGAGCCGTTTAATCTATTCCAGCAGCCCAGTTAAAGAGGATGTGAAACCGCCGCAAAATCTTCGAAGCAGGCATTATTTATGAGAGAACACTTTGGCGGTTTCATTTTACGAGTTCGAGTTACGGATAACTGATTGTAAAATTATCATTTGGAAATTACTTTTATTTATTCTAAACTAAACTGATTTTTTTGTTAGAATTTTTATTTTCAACAGATTAAATAGTTCTCAATTCGTCAGAATGTTTAATTTTTACCACGTACATTATTTTCACGAATTAGGTGCTCGAAAACGCTTAAATCGATTTCGAAAATCTTTTTAGCTGGAAAGGTTCTATTGAAGGTGGTCCTATCTTCATCATTACTTTATTTTTCTGAAATTATACCTATTATAATATGTTGAAAAACGCAAAGCTAGTTGAAAGAGAAGTTTCCAGAGGGATCGACGGCCGACATCGACATACATAATATACTGTACATTGACATTGACTATGGCCGAATAATTACATACAGTGCGCTCGCTTTCTTCACGCTCAATTGAACACAGCGGACACGTATATTATTTACCCTGATTGCACTATTTGTAAACCGTATGAAGTTACTATACCATTTAGTTACTTGAAATATCGTTGGAAGTCATAAAATATTATTGCCTCGTACTTATGTACCTAGTATATCCTGTCTAGGAGTAACCACTACTGCTCCTCTGAGCACAACAAAAATGAAATGAATGCGGAACCCGAAAATGAAGCTGAGTATTCGCTTTGAATTTCATTATTATCACAGGCAAGACAATTCCAGTGTGTTCAAAAACTAAAGAAAGACGATTGTGTTAGTTGATTGAATTGGAAAGTTGTAAACATGAAATAATATTATGTATATTTTTGGCTGGCTTACGTACCTACGTACATTACCGTTATTTGAATTGATAAAGCTATACATAATTAATGTACTATATACTTACTAAGCAGAGCATCAATACTGGATCGGTCGCCTTCCAACCAGGCTGAGATAACGTAGGCCAGGCCCAGCATAGCAACACCAAGTAACGCGAGGACTATGAAGGTCTCGTACACTCTGCCCCTCAATCCCCTACACCCAGGGAACCCGGACGACTCCGAGAACAGATACGCGAAAGGCAGGAACACGAACATTGACAGATTGGAAAATAGGAATACGTGGTTCCATAACCCTGAAACAAATTATACTATCAGTAACAAAATAGCTGCTTTCTGTTAGCAGTTTTGCTAACGGTGCATTATTTAATATTATGAGATTTCATCTCGAAAGTTTACTAGTAAAAACCGCATAAAAATAAGTTCAGTAGATTTGTATGTCTCGTGAACAGGCGCGCCGTTTGTAACCGCGAATGCTGAATACGACTTCTTAGGTTATTCTCAGATAGGGAAATGTATTAGGTATAATTTGTAATTGGGTTTTTCTATTTCAATATTTTAGTCATATTCTCATCTTGACAAATTAGGAAAATGTCTGGTTATAACTCATAAACTTGCTTTGTATTACATAGGATTGTTAAAGTAACTGATGTAAACTGAGTGCATAATTGCACACTGCTAAGTTGAAAAGTAGGTCAGCTCGTCAGAGACATTCATAAGGAAATCTCTAAAAGCGTGTCTGAAAAGCCTTTGTGCAAACAATAAGTGAAACGATTCATTTCTGCGTTTTCTCTTGACTTAACAATATTGGTTTTGAGTTTGTAGGACGTTTTCCAGTTCATCAACGTATGTTAACGCCGAAGTGTACACAACTACACATAAAGCCCCCGTGTCGAGGTATGTCACGATATCAATCATGCTCTCCTGCTGCCACGGTACATACGCTCCATTGCAACACAGACAGAGGTGTCTCTACCTATTATATTTAATTCTATTTCTATAGTTTAAACATTCGACGTATCTGTATAATGTATATGATGATACGACAATGCTATCTTTAGCCACTTTAATGCGTTTTTCTAGACATACGCGTCTAAATGTCGATCGATTGTTCGTAGAATAGAGATGTCTATATAAACATTGTAGTTTCGATTTCATTCTGAAAGTTTTCGGGCAGATAAGATCTGTGCTATAACAATTATCTATTGTATGAGACATACAAGACGGGTTTAATGTCTAATATGAATGTATAATAAGAAATAACTATCAAGCCTTGAGTTCATTATGGAATTGTTATGATTCCATACACTCTTTATTACATCAGATCACACAATTTCTATTGTACTAGACATACGACAAATATTTGTTTAGTTTTCAGTAATAATCAAACAACTTGTGTTTACGTAACTGGTGAAAATATCAACCAAGCATTGAATAATATACCTTGGAACTTTTGATAATTTCCTTTTTTTACATAGAAACTTTGATTGTATATTAGGTTGCATTTGCATTAACACTTACCTTGAATGAGAGAGCTGTTGAGCCATTTGACATAATAACTGTTAGGGTATAGTATGAGTACTTCATTGCTGACTATAGATACAGGCAGTAAGAGAGCGGAGCCCAGTGACACGGCTAGTGCAAAGGTGCACAGCCAGAGACTGATTCTGTAAACTTTCACTTCATCTTCATCTCCAGTGAAGTAATCCTCGCTGTCTCGACGTCGGAACTTTTCAATTAGCATAAATGACACAAGGTATAGTAATATGAATAGTAGAAGGAATATCTGGAACAAAGAAATACATTCTTTAGTTATACAAATCATAAACCTCAGTACTATATCTTATTTCTCAGTCGTATTTCTCTTAAAGAATGTATCCATCCATCATATGTATTGTGTCAAATATTTTAACTTATGTGTTCGGACCAGACCAACTGATGAATGTTTAATTTAGTTTAAACTTTTTTACAATTGTTTTATTTTGGAAAATTCTATGAGATGAGTACATAAAAAACCCAGGAGTATAGATAAAATCTCTGAAGCTTTTTGCTATCCAGTAGAATTAAAAATAAACGAACTAATAACTTAAAATGAGTTGTTATTTCATACAGCTGGTATTGTCTGTGCCAAATACTTTATAATTTATGTTGGTATTTACTCGGAATAGGTACATTAATGTCAGTCAAATAACATGATAGTTAAATACACTAAACATTAAAGGGGGAAAAAAAATTACTGGCATATTAGAACTACTATTTTAATTACCAATTATTAATGGAAATAGTTATTATACTACTTTTTTATTACAATGATATCTTTACTGGAAATATGCTATTGTACAATTTTTATCATTCCATTCATATAAGTTACAATTAAAACCATAATAAATAAGTTCCTATCAGTTTATGCAATTTGCATATTATCACTCTTACTGGCAATTAGAACAGTTTGAAGGAAATTAGCAGTATCTATGTTAAAATATTTTACTGACTTGCAGACATATTATTACAAACCTAGGACCTAGTGTAATATTAGGAACTTTCTGATGTATGTAATGAGAGAATTAGAATATATATGTAATATATTCTAAGAATTTTATGAGAAATAATTTGTGGGGTTTGAAGCATTTTCTGATTTGCTCCAAGCTACATGGGTTTAGCATACATTTTAGAAATTTTATTTTTGGTTGTATTAGCTATAACAAAGAAAAATAGTTTTAATCTATCAGTAAGTTTTAGCAATACTCAACTTGATTACCAAGTAGTAAGTACTGTTTTGTTAATACTTTTCTACATTACATCAATGATATTTAGACAACATTGCTAGAGAAATACTTGGCAAATTATTATACTAAAGAATTTTTGGAGATAATTTTTTACAGCTCTTTTTATGTTAAATAGTGTCATCATTTTAGTAGGGCCGACCTTGATCCAGTGGTGTATGATAACACTAAGACTTGCCATGGACATTACAAACATACAGGTTATTTTTATTCTATAAAACAGAGGGTTGTCTTATACTATACGACCCAGGAAACTATGTGATCCGAAGTTTACTTTGAATAGAAACTACTGAAAAATAAAATAAAAGTACCTGTATCTTTTAAAATTCAAACATTTGAACGAAACGGGATGAATAATGAAACTTGAATATAATTATGTTCACCAATTGGGACAAAGCTACGGCGAATATCGAATAGCTTAGACAAGATAGTATAATAGCCTTTGTTTCGATATGTACTTACAATTTGCTCCCTGACATTATTGTGGAATATCTGCTCGCGCAAGTCTGCCTCATCATCATCCATTGTACCGTTTTTGCAAACTTCTTATCTTTTGACAAATATTGGTGTTCCTTTGCTGAGCCTACCATTGAAATAGCACTTCATTTTCAAAAAACATTACATGTTATCAAGAATTATAAACAAAACACCGTCTTTTTCACAACACTTTAAATTTTATATTCACCACACCACCGACACTACTGACGAGATTAGACGAAGATGATTGTTATTGAAAATATTTTAAAGTAGCACGCAACGCAACGAAATTGTGAATGTAATAAAAACACGACTGATTTATAATGAGCGAATGACGGAAGAAAACTGATTTGACTGACAGCAACTGAATGAATGTACTAACAAATGGCACAGATAAGTAATACTGAATGAATTAAGTATTAGATTCATTCTCCCGGGGAAATGTTTATACAATAAGAAATCATATAGATTAAACCGACCAACTGACCGTCTCGGATGGAAGGAAGGGTTTTTTGTCTCTAATGTTGTCCTGATGTCCATCTGAAACCTGAAGCATTATAAATTATGAGGATAAGTTTTATCCCGGGTTTAGTAATTTAGTAAGTGCACATCACTAAGGTGACATTAAGAAAATGTCATTGTCAAATATTACAACTTGTGGTGGTCTGTCAATCAAAACTTGTAAACAAAATACACGACTTTTTAAACAAGTTTCAACATGATGAGAAAACTTTGTTATTTTGCCATAAAATTGACTATGTATGTTACCGTTTAAATATGAGCGCTTTAGATAGTAAGTAAAATATTTCCTACTTTCATATATTCAAATTGAAATAAAGATATTCATAATAAATTAATGAAAATACTTTTTAATTCCAGATAGCAGTCGTATAAATCCCGAATTTTCTGTTAGAATAGTGGTATGTGATCACTATTTAAGCAAACCAATTCCTGGAATAGATGTCATTTATTCAGATTTCCGAGGAGCTGATATTAAACAGGTTACTTTACATTACTTAAAATTTTAGGATCCAAATTTCAATTCAAGCTATGTGATAAATAATATTAATATTAATTTTTTTTCTAGGTGCCAGTTTTAAGGATATTTGGCCCAACACCGGATGGGCATAAAGCATGTCTTCACATTCATGGAGTGTTTCCATACTTCTACATACCATGTCCAACACCAAATCCACAGCCACAATTTTTATATCAGGTGAAAGAAAACTCTTCGGTTTCATTTCTTTATTACCTTTGTTTTAGTCTTTATTTAATACGAAGAGCTTTTTTCCTAAGAGGAACATGTCAGCCCTATTATAGGATACAAAATTCAGTACAAAAAAAAAATAAAGCCGCTAAACCATTTATAGGTTTAACTAGCCCTTAAGCTTAAACATAAAATAATTAAATGATACAATTTTCTAGCCTCAGATGACAATGGTGATGTTAAAACACTGAGATAAAAACCGAACCTCTGAGTTTATTACCTTATATGAAGTAACTTACACTATATTGAGAACAAATCTGTCACAACTAATTTCTCTTAAATCTTAAAATAAATATAAATAAAAATCTGCCCCTAAAATGGCCCACCTTATCTACCTTATTATTATACCAATTTACATGCATAAAGTGAAACAAACAGAATTAATTTATGTATTTCAACAGAAACTTTACGACAATTACAGATTGCAGCTAGTCTGGACAAAGCATTAAATATTGCACTGAAACAAGCAACTTCTACCAATCAGCATGTCTATAAGATATCTCTAGTTAAAGGCCTGTGAGTGTGACAATAACAAACATAATTAATTTATTATATTTTCTTTCCAAATATTACAAAAATATTTTATTCCCAGGCCCTTCTATGGATACCATGATAGAGAACATCTATACCTAAAAGTATTCTTATATAGCCCGGGCTTAATCAAACAAGCTGTAGAACTCTGCAGTAATGGAGCCATTCTGGGTCAGTCATTTCAACCTCATGAATCTCATTTGAATTTCACCCTGCAGTTCTTCATAGACTTCAACCTCTTTGGAATGAGCAATATAGACCTACAATGTGTTAAATTCCGTAAGGCAGGAATATCTCAGAATACTGATGAAGTCCAAAACTCTAATGATGTTGGCCTTAAACCTGAAAGTTCTTGCCACTTTGAAGCAGATTGCGCAGCCTCACACATTATTAACAGGCAAAGAATTGGAAAAGGAGATGGCATTGAGAATCCAGGCTTAGAAGAAGTTTGGAACCAAGAGTCAGAAAGAAGAAAACAGTTAAACATCTCTCTAGCCTCAAAGTCACTGTCTCAAGGCAGAATAAAAGCAGAAGAGACAGATTCACATTATAAATTCGAACAAATGTTTTTATTGAAAATGTCTAATTTGATAGACAAACCTGTGCTAATAGAAAACGAAGTTAAAAAAGAGTTAGCACAATATCCAGCTGAAAGTATGGAAGGCACACAGTTGTTTAATGCTGTAGATGTGAGTGTTCATCTACCTAATGAATCAGTGGCTGCTGGGTTTAATCAAACATTGAGAGATTTCAATGACACTGAAGAAGATTTAGACAATACACTGGTGGATGAAAGTCTGGCTCTGAACAGTAGCTTGTCTCTGCACTATAGTCAAGTTTTTTGTAAGTAATCAAGTCAAAAACTAAAGTGTAGAATAAGTTCGTTTAGTAGAATAACTCAATAATTCTTTTTCCTTGTAGTAAATAATGAAGATTTGGAACTAGTAGACTTATTACAAGATATGGATGAGAAGCCTGTAGAAGAAGATAGTGTGATGGGGACACCAGCTAATGTTGAACAGGATGCTGATGTTGATACAGATGATGCTGAATATTCGCGGATATTTGATGAAGAAACTCTAATTTTAAATGAAGAAGAATGGTAAGTTACTCCAGAATTTTTTTTTCATGTAATAGTTGCGTATGTTAATATTTTAAATGACTTTTGTTTCAGTAAAAACGATGAAGATGAAAGCTCTCCTTCATGGAATGATTCGTTTTGGGAAGGCGCAAATATTCCACAACTAGATGGAACGTGTGACGATGAACGTAAGTAAACTAATAATATTTGAGTTACAATCCTGAATTCTTAACCCACATTAATAAATATTGAACTATACATTTGCAGATACAAAGAAAGTAAGGAAAAGAAAAATGAGACCATTTAAATTAGGCTTGTCAAGGCCTAAAGCCAGAAGGAAAGATGAAAGTGAATCAGATAGTAGATCAGAATCTAATGTAGATATAAGTCAGATGGATGAAATTAATGTTTCAAGAGAAACTATAGAAGATATCTCTGATGCACATCTGAGAAGAGTTGTAAAAACTGAACAAGAAAGTATTTTGAACAATTCTATAAATATTAATGAAGGTGATGTAGCCCAATGCAAAGTAGAAAATGAATCAATCGTAGATTTAGTAAATAAAATAACAGTAAATCAAAAACCTTTGCAGCCAGCTCCAGCAGAAGTTTATGATAGAGAAAACAATTATGAGCCAAAAGCGGGACCTTCAAATATTAACGTTAATAAGTCCTTTAATGTAACTTTCAACAGCGACAACGAAATAGATTCTTCACCTGAACCTAATAAACTAGGAATAAGGAGTTTCTATGATGTGTCTAAAATATTTAATTTATCTGTAGAAAGTGATGATACTGAAGTAAATAAATCTCAATTGATATCAATGGTAGACAACAAAGATGATTATTCTGAAAGTCATAATTGGAATGTACAAATTAAAAATAATGAATTACAAGAAGAAAAACTGAACATCAAAATAGAGCCTAATGTTACTGTACTTAAAACTGAAAAATCAATAATACTAACACCTAAAATAAAACCGCCAACAAAAAGATATGTCTGCTCAAGTTTATATCATTATAAAATACCAAAAGTAAAAAACCCAGAACCATATTACTCAGACCACAAAGATGTAGGTGACAAAGTAGAAATAGGGCAAATGTTGTTAAAAGTGAATAGTAAACTATCAAGGGATCAAAAGCCTTTTGAGAAAGTGTTGGATATGACGAGCATAGAAGAATGGCGACATCTACTGTTCCTACAAACACATGAGATGTCCCAAGAATCGTCGAAGCCTGACGCTTTAAAAATTCTACTGGCAGGGAATAGGAAATGCATTTTAGAGCCTGTCAAGAGACCACCTACTGGCAATGAAGTTAAACAATGGTTGTTAAATAAAGATAGTGAAGCGAAAGAAGAAAACAGAAGTATTATTGATGAAGATGTTACTAATAAAAATATTGATGAATTAGAAAATTCACAAGCTCTTGGTCTGAATGAACTTGATAACACCTTAAGTTTGGAAACTGATGAAAAGGTGGGTAACAATTTCTTTGCGAGTGATTTTAGCTTATCAATATTTTTTGATCAACTGCCTATTAAAATTATACTGTGTATTCATTTACAGGAGAAACCTAACTTGAACAACAGCCTTCAAGTAACGATGCAACCTGACGGATCTTTTCTTTGCTTTGGGAGTAATGATATTAGGGCTGATAGCAGCTCTATTGAAGCCCCTACAGTTGACGTAAGTATGAAAATTAAAAAAAAAGATTAAGTAAAATAAGATATAAAACTTTGAGTTAATTTTATTGTTTAGGTAAATTTTCTAACCGTCATGGTAGCCGAAGTTCACACATCAGTTCGTGGAGACTTGAACCCCGATCCCGCTATAGACCCTATAGAGATTTTATTCGTAACAGTAACTAATGATTGCCCGCCTGAACATCGGCTACAGAAAAGTGTAACAAAAATTATAGTTGTCGAAAAAAGCACACAAGTAAGATATTTAGATAGATGCATTTTTAACGTAGATGTCACATACGTCGACAATGAGAGTGTCCTTTTAGAAAAAGTTCTAGAACTGGTAATGATACACGATCCCGACATAATGTGCGGGTATGAAATAGAAATGAGTTCTTGGGGATACATCTTAGAGAGGGCACAAGTTTTAGGACTTGAAATCGTGAAAGAAGTTTCAAGAATAACAGAGAAGTACCGCCAAAAACGCTGGAGAGGCGAAGAAAACGATTTCGAAGGGAGAATTATTGGGCGCATAATGTTGAATGTGTGGCGTTTGTTCCGACATGAGATAGCATTATCAAGCTACAGCTTTGAGAATTGTATGTATGAGGTGTTGAAGGAGCGAGTGCCCACATACAGCTATGCTCAACTGGGGAGGTGGTGGCGCGATGAGACCCGGCTATTGAGGTGGATTCCCGTAGAACATTACTTGACCAGGTTGTCGGGAACTGTGAGGATGTTGGAGAAACTTGATATTATAAGTGAGTATTAGCTCATTGGTATTTCACCATGGTAATAAATGTCAGTTTGCTAACATTATTAGGAAATAATCATTTGGGCAGATCGCACATCAGAACTAGCCCGTCTATTTGGGCTCCAGTGGTGGGAGGTGCTGTCCCGAGGCTCTCAATTCCGTGTCGAGTCCCTCATGTTGCGAGCTGCGAGGCCTTTAAACTTGGTGGCTCTATCACCCACTGTGAAGCAACGCGCTGCCATGAGGGCCCCCGAATGTCTTCCACTTATATTTGAACCAGGTAAGAAGAAGTTAAAAGGAGAAGATGTATTTTCAAAGCAGTTTTTGTAATGAAATTTTATTTATTATAGAATCTCGCTTCTACACGGACCCCGTCATAGTACTGGACTTTCAAAGTCTGTATCCGTCAATGATGATCGCCTACAACTACTGTTTTTCAACGTGTATTGGACGAGTTCAAAATATTAACGGGTAAGAACGTTAACATTTTGCCCTTAAAAAAAGACATTTTAGTTTTTTATTGTAGGTCTACTAGAAAGTTCTTTTCCTTCATTTCAGAGAATCAGATTACGAATTTGGCGCATGGCGTTTGAAAATACCTAAAGCTAAATTAGAAGCATTGGTCAAAAAAGGTTTAGTTCACTGGTCGCCTGTCGGCGTTGGCTTCGTAAAGTCGTCGGTACGCCGCGGTGTCCTCCCTGCGTTGCTGAGAAGAATCTTAGCGGCTCGACAAGCAGTCAAGAAGAATATGAAAGCGCAGACTGATGAAGCTGTGAAAAAAGCTATGCATTCCAGACAACTAGGTATGCTTTGTAGATCTTATTTTATTCTAGCTGTTGAATACCAATTAGAATTCTTGCTTTATTATAAGTATTTCTCTTTATTCCAGGCTTAAAATTAATAGCAAATGTAACGTACGGGTATACAGCAGCAAACTTCAGTGGTCGTATGCCGTGCGTGGAGGTCGGTGACAGTGTGGTCTCTAAAGGACGCGAGACGTTGGAGCGAGCCATAAAGATGGTACGAGATAGCACGCAGTGGAACGCCAAGGTACGTTGAACAATAGAAACCACTGTTACTGCTACAGCAGAGAAGAATACATGTGTCATCCCTTCTCTTCCTGCGGATATGGTAAGTGCCGATTATGGACCGATAGCCCAATTTTCAAAGACCCAAATTTCCAATCCCTAAACGGCCGGCAACGCACTTGTAAGTTCGTCTCCTGTTGTGGGTGTTCACGGAGATCGCTTGCTTGATCTGTCGGCTCATTTGCCATATATTTCTATGCTACTGCAGGTGATTTACGGCGATACAGATTCAATGTTCGTGTTAGTGCCTGGTGGGACACGCGCTGAAGCATTTGAGATTGGCCAACAGATTGCTGACGCCGTTACAGCAGACAACCCTTCACCGGTTGCACTCAAACTTGAGAAGGTAACATATTACAACAATTACTCTTGACTTTTTTTTTATTTTTTTTTTTTTTTATTAAACGTTGCCCCACACTAGGATTATCTCCTGTGTCGTGGGTGCGTTTACAAACATACAAGTTCACATACACATGACACCCAGACCCGAAACAACAATTTGTGGATCACACAAAGTGTTGTTCCGTGCGGGAATCGAACCCGCGACACGTTGCACGGCAGCCGGTTGCCCAGCCACCGCACCAACCGTGCAGTTTCTTCGCATCTTCTATACTAATATTATAAAGCGAAAGAGTTTGTTTGTTTGAACGCGCTAATCTCCAGAACTCCTGGTTTAAATTGTGTAATGCTGTTTGTGTTAGATAGTCACAAAACAGTAATAAAAAATGTAAATGGTTATCTAACAGTAACTTATGATAGTTCTACTTAACGCAACAGGTGTACCAACCATGTATTCTGCAAACTAAGAAGCGGTACGTTGGCTACATGTACGAGACTCCTGACCAGGAGAAGCCAGTGTACGAAGCTAAAGGAATTGAGACCGTCAGGAGGGACGGATGTCCAGCTGGAGTCAAAGTAAGCCTATGTTTTCATGCCTTTAAAAACTTATTAACCTATAAAGTGTCGGGACGCAGATCTACGCGAGACACAGTGTGTTTTTTATTGAGTTCCATGTATCGACAGACAAGAAGTTAATAGGTTGATATATCGTACCCAAAATTTGTCCATACAAAAGTAGTCTCTAACCATCGGAAATAAGGTGTATAATGGAGTTAGTGGAGAGCGATCACCGGTGATCGCTTGGGGATTGAACAGTTGTATTAGTAATAGATCTTAATCCAAAATCTCCGGGTTTACTTATGATTTTTAACAGAATAGTTAAAATTCCTCCAAAGTGTCGTCGTCTATATCGCTTATCCTCGACATCTACAATGTTGGAATATCAGCAACTGATCCGAATCCATAAATCGTTTTTTTCTTCAACTTATAGCTTCTCCAGCGAGCCCTGTGTGAGTTGTTCGAAACTGGTGATATGTCACGAGTGAAGCGATCGGTAATGGCGACATTATCACGACTCGCAGACGGGTCCTTGCCACCACAGGAACTGTTCTTCACGCGAGAATACCACGGGCCTGCTGGATATAGACCTGGTGCTTCTGCGCCACCTAATGAGATTGCCAAGTAAGTTGTATTTTTGGCAATGCAATAAGGACCATTTTTATCTATGGAATAGTATAGTGTGACAAAGCATTCGTACACAGACAAAATTTTAGTGATAAGAAAAGTAAAAAAGATGTATCGATAAAATTCAATATATTTTTTTTGTCGGCGGCGGCTTTTTCTCTGTGTATCGAATGCAGTAAATCCAAAAATATACTATGTTCTTGTTTTCAGTTTTATTTACATTATTTCTAAACTTGCAGACGTTTAGTGTCACACGACCGTCGCTCGGCGCCCCGCACGGGGTGGCGCGTGGCGTGGCAGGTGACGGCGGGGGCGCCGGGCGCCGCGCTGGTCCGCCTGGCGCGCACGCCGGCCGAGCTCACTCGGGACCCCACGCTACAGCCTCACAAGGCCTATTACGCGGCCAGAGTCCTACTGCCACCACTACATCGCTGCCTCTCTCTACTTGGAGTAGACGTCTTCAAATGGTGAGCTAATATGTGAAGATATTTACCATCATTTTTGTCTTTAACTTGGAAATTAGAGTTGATTAATGAACAATATCTTTTCATCACTATTTACCTATATTGATTTCTTTTGGTTGCCGACACTTTAATGTCTTTTAATCTGAATTTATCGTCCACCTTGAAGTGTAAAATGCTGTGGTTGCAGGTGGAGTGAAATCGGATATACTCGGGAAGTGCAGCAGAACGAGCCAAGTCGTGCGGGCGGTATAGCGCGCTACATGTGGCGGGCGCGGTGCGCGGTGTGCGCGGGGCGCGGGGCGCGCGCGGCCGTGTGCGAGTCGTGCGCCGCGCCCCGCGCCGAGCGCGCCGCCGCCGTGTGCGAGGAGTGCGCCGCGCCCCGCGCCGCGCCGCGCGCCGCCGCCGCGCTCGGACTGCGGCTCGCGCGGGCCACGCACCACCTACATTCTTGCCAAGCTGTACGTTTTATTTTATTTGTTTGTATTTTCTAGAATCATCTTATAAATACGTTATAAGGAGCGACAAAGCTGAATTACTCTATTTTTCCTATTTTAATTTAATGTCAATTTATGCTTCTTGTAATTTTTTTCTGTTTTTAGATTTGCGCTTCGTGTAGCGGTCATAGTCAGTCTTTAGAATGCGAAAACACCGAGTGTCCAGTATTATGGCGACGTATAGCGGCTCAACACAAACTCACACAAATACAAGATATTGTCACACATTTACCGCCTATTTTCACTAAAGAGAGCTTCGATTTTTAAAATGATAAAATATTTAATGAAATTAGTGATATAATCCGTCTGTATATTTGTATTAAATGTAATAAAATTGAAATATTGTCATAAAATATAAATGATGCGAGAAATTCTTATATTTGTTAGTATTATTTATAATCCTTTGTTGTTTTACACAATGACGCACCTTTTCCTTTCAATTTTTTACTCTACTGGTCTTCTACTCTAACCGGATGAAATGTAGCAACAACACAATTTCAATTAATAAATTAATTTAATGTCAATTAATTGTGCTTTACGTTGGTCAGTGATAGAATGGTACTTTCTCTAGTCAAGTCAGTTCATTTAAGTTGCATTATCATTATTTAGCAACTAGGCTACCCTTCGTCGTATTTGTAATAATAATTTTAATAAAAAAACATTGAGTCATTGATACACATAATTATTGGGAAAATATAATATTGACAGCCGACTGGACGCAAGTGCGATTGCAAGGGGTCTCGGGTTCGATTCCCAGGTCGGTCAAAGTGGAACTGGGATTTTTTTTTAAATTCTCAGTGGTATCACGGAGTCCGGAATTGTGCTCGGTATATGGCAATAGGCTCAGTCCCTATCACATGGGGCTCATAACGTAAATACTGAAAAGTGGGTGAAAATTACATTTTACAGTATCATAATGTGTATCTCTGCCTACCCCTTCGGGGATAAAAGGCGTGTGTTACATAATATTGACTGACCAACAAAACTTCAAAAAACTCTAAGACGCTAGTATTTTTTTCTCTTTGCTGTATAAAGCATATTATCTTCTTTATTATTGATTTATTAATGATATAATTTTTTTTATTTACCGATATCGATAAAATAATTAAATATTACAGGCATCCCTATAATGTTTTTTTTTCGTCTATGGCAATCCCTACAACGTTTGTTGCATTGCATTTTGTTGACAGTAAGTTACTGTCACCGTCACTATCAGTCGATTCGATAAACAACTTCCGAAGTTTCGAGCGTTCGTAAAGCTATATTACAGATTGGGAAAACCCAAGTGCAAAACAACATTTTGTAATAGGTCGTAGTGAATTTCACACAAGAAGTATAATAATAATAATCATGGTGAACACTTCCAAAATGCAACGGCATATAGAATTGCGTAAATTACCTGCAGCCTCCTTGTATAACTTGGCTACTATTTTGGAAATTAATAAAGACTGGCAAAAAGTTGTGCCCCTCATACCGAAAGACTTGACGGCTGATAATTTTGAGCGTAAATATAACTATGAACATATGAGGTAAACAAGTAGCAAATCTGTTATTGTTGTATCAATCACTTTGATTTATTATATTAACCTTCTATACATTCAACAGATTAATGGAAAAACATGCCGAAGATACAAACAGGAAGTTTGCTGAGGTATTATTCGATGAATGGAGTACCTCCGGCAGGGTTAGACCAACTTTAGAAACTCTCATGATGATCTTATACAAGGCCGAAATATTTAGAGCTGTCGATGAAATTTCACTCATGCTAGGCGGTAAGTATTCCTATTTTTTCATATTAATGTTCTATATCGATAAAGTCTTACAATGTTAATATAATTTTTCAGAGCCACCTCTACCCAGGCCAAGTGATGGCCCAGGAGCCCCTATTACAACAAATATATCAGCACTTCTAAATGAACAAAGTGGTGACCAAACGGCAAATACCACAGCTACAGTAGACAGTGGAAATGCACACAACTCTGATCATGACCAAGCAATTTGTAATCACACAACAAGACAGCTGAAAGAACCAAGTGATCTGATCAAGTTTTCTGAAACCATACTAAGTAAAGATATACCCAATCTTAGTGTACTGCAAACATTTGGTGACAGAAGTACTGCATTAGTAGAACAGTCAGATCTCATTAAGTTTTCAAGCTCTAAAATAATGGCTTCAGCAGAACTTCCAGACTTTAGTGCTTTGATACCCAAAGCTGAAGGTGACTCCAAAACAATATCTTCAGTGACTGCTACTACAGTCTCAACTGAACCTGACTCATCTCAAATTAACTCCATCCCACAAAGTAGTTATTCCCAATACTCTGCTGGTAGCAACTTGTCATCTGTGCCCAACATATACAGTGTTATAGATAATGCTATATTGACAGACAAAAATTTAGTTCAATTTGATTACAGTGAATTAGAAGCTATAACTAATGAGTTTTCTGAAAACTTTACTGACGAGCCCGTGGGACCTGTTGGGAAAATAGGTAGCGGTGGGTTTGGAGAGGTGTATGTTGGTAGACACAAAAAACATGGTCTTCTAGCTATAAAGAGAGTGCGAATGCATTTCCAGATAAGCTGTGAAGTTGCCATGAAAGTGTTTAATACTGAGGTAAAGGCTCTGTCTCTTTTAAGACATGAAAACATTGTTCCCATCTTTGGATACTCTATAGATGGAATTACACCATGCATTGTGTGTGAATACATTGATGGCGGCTCACTTTCATATAATATTCAAGAAAGAGTACTAGAAGTCAATGAACGAATGAATATAATAAAGGGTACAGCAGAGGGTCTGAAGTACATCCATCATAGTGAGAGACCTCCACAATTTGATGACAGTGTAACTCAATCAGGGTCTCTATCCACTAGGAAGAGTTATTTTCTTCATGGTGACGTCAAAAGTGCTAATATATTGCTAACTAAAGACTGTGTGCCTAAGGTAAGCATTCAATTCTTTTAACTATTCAACTTGTCATGCAAACAAAAATAACACTAAGTTTTTTTGTATATTTTTCAGCTTTGCGACTTTGGCTTGGCTAAACAATTAGAAACAACCTTTATCACTACAAAGTCTATGATGGGAACCTCGGCTTACATGGCACCTGAGGGCTTTTCTGGTACGGTAACACAGAAAAATGACATCTTTAGTTTTGGCATAGTTCTACTTGAACTACTAACTGGTTTGAAACCAATTGTGATTGAGAATGGTGAAAGTAACAATATCAAATCCTATGTTGAAGAAAACTGTGAAGACAATGATATTACTAGACTTGTAGACAAGAGAATTTCTAATTGGACAAAAGCTCAGGATATATTCATAGTAGCTCAACGGTGCTTGCAACATTTCAAGAACCAAAGGCCCACTATTGATGAAGTATGCAATATGATTGATGAAATCTGCGCAAATTAAATTGTTTATTTAACTCATTAACCAATAGTTCAATAGTTTAAATGGTGCAATTAATAAGAATTAAAAATGTGATAAATCTTCTAAACGATAATGTTATATTGTTTCACTGGTAGTGAAGTATTTGTAATGATAATATTTGTAAATAAGTAGATACTTATGATTATATTATACACATTTTCATTTAAAATGAGATTAAAAAAAAACGTTGAATAGTACTTTCTAAACATTTATTTTATTAACTGACATTTAAGATACAGAGTACTTTCATATAATATTATGTAAGTAGATTATATAAGTGACATTGTTTTTAAAAATTGAATATTAGAAATGGTGTAATCTATATGTGATTCACTATGTGTGTTGGGAACCAGATAAATACACAGTAAATAATATCAATTTATCAATAACGATTTTCTATAAATTCATATACAATCATCTGATTTAAATCCCCAAAATTTTGGTACTAGGTCTTTAAACTGTCAAACACCAAGCGGTCACCGGTGACCGCAACCTATTGTTCTATAATTGTGTCTACAAAACCGGTACTCGACAAGTTAATGGAATTAGTGGTGAGCGGTCACCAGTGACTGCTTGGGGTTTGATCAGTATAGACACTCGAGTTTACCCCTTTTTATCGTCTGAGCATTTATCCTCTGCCCATCACAAGTATGACCTAAGATTTTACTAAGACATACTACTTTATTGGAATTTATTTTTGGAATAAAATAATGTTTTAATTAATTCTCATACTTTCTTTTAGTATTTTGATCCTCAACATGATATCTCTATCTCGATGTAATGACACAGGAGTTGAGTCCAGGTTGTTGTATATTATGTGCTGTTCTTCTAAAGTGCACAAACTAATTAGTGTTATCATCAAAGTCTGGATTTGTAGCTTTGTTTTTTCATCTCTGGTCACATAGAGAACTTTCAGCAACACAGCCAATATTTTCTGGTCTGATACTAAGTTCCAGGTGCACCAGCAATTTCTTATCCAAGCTAGCAGGCACTGTAAGATAAATATAATTAAAAAAAAAATTGTTTTGGGTGTTAAAGTGATATGTATGTAATGTTTACTCAGTAGGCCGAAAAAATCAAATAATTATGGAGTTATTATTATGACTTTTAAAGTACATACCTCAAACGCAGGTATAAATAGTATATCATAAACAGCTACATTAGTAGTACACATGTCTAAGCTGTCATGGATGATATCCTTATAAATCCTCTTCTTGGCACAATGTATTTGGTGCATTTCAATCATTTTGGTTGTGAAGTAGAAGCAAATAACTTTTCTATGTAAGTTGGTTTCAATATTCAATTGATCAAGGATTCCTGAATATACATCATCCAACTTTGCTTTCTAAAATAATACAAAATTATTTATTATATTATAAATTGGTCTTTAAGCTACAGGTACTTTAATAGAGCATGCATGAAGTATGCTAAAAAATCGAATGCCTGTTGTTTCATAAACATGCTAAAAATGAGCATGCTAATTTTGAGTAATATCCCGACACACATGCTCTTACATGTTTGAAATTAGAAAGTGTACCTTAAATCTTGTACATTTATGTTTTGCTCACATATCACCTACCTTCACTTCTAATGGGAGTTTGGGCAAGAAACATGGGTAACATTTAAACAGAGCCTTTGTCACATCAATATCTTTCTCATGCATGTTCTTTTTGAAACTCATGTATATAACTTCATAGTAATTTCCCGTTGAGAAACAATTTGGTTTCTGAAAACAAAGACACACAGCAATCAAGTCTACTTCCAACAAAAATGAGGGTAATAATATAGTTTTCTTACCAAACACTCCAGAATCAATAAACAACATTGCAATCCCTTCAGTTTATTAGAAGTGATGTAATCGTCTACCAGGAGCAAAGCTACAGGCATTACTGTCACCGGGTTCAATGTAACATTGTATTTCTGGAAACAAGATGTACAGTCAGGTAAATATCATCATGTTCAATTTTATATCAACCTCTGTAATTTACATCTCACCTCAACATTGCTGATTATCAAATAGTAGACCTCAATAAGACCAGGGTACTTCTTGAAGTCATCCAATGTCATCTTCTGGTGCAATTCCTTAATGCATTTATCAAAGACTTCTTGTGATTTGTAAAAGTCATCTTTTAGCAGAATATCTTCAAATTTTAAATTATACTTGTTTTCAAATGCACAGTTTAATTTTGTTGGATAATCCTGGGCTTTAGTGTTGTCTGTATTCCATGGACCTTCTGTTCTTAATTCCATATATAATATAAATAGAGAATATAATGTACTTGAACATATTTCTGCTTGTTGCCTGAAGTCTACATTTTCAATTAAGTCTAAAAGTTTAGGGAAATATTGTTCCAATTTGTTATTCCTTACTTGATACTCAGAGTGGAAATCTTTCTCATTATAAGGTGTAGAAAGTTTACTTATTAAACAATTATTGATACATTCTTCTATTTGAACAAAAGTATCTATCATTTTTATTTTATAGTAAACCAATTTAGAAAATAAAAAACCACTCAATTCACATTCATTAAACAAGACAGAAAACTTATGCTTATTATTTAATTTACAATGTTCAATTGGTGTAAGAAAATATGTAAACAATCCAATTCAAAGGAAGTAAAATAAGGAATTGATTCATTTCATTTTCATGATTTGTTTTTATGACGGGTGTCATTGACATGACATTTCAATTTATGAACAACTGTCAGTTTATTTACCTCTGTCTGTGACCGCCATAGATGTATAATAGCTGCCTATATAGGGGATTACAATAGGGGATTGTTCATCTATGTTGACCGCCAATGCCGTAATTTCCTTGATCATTGTATAGGTATCGTCATTGTTGCGTCCATGCTTAGTATGATTTTATAATGGAAAAATAAATAATCCCTAAAACTGATGAAACTGTTTCGTAGTTTTACTAATAACCTACACTAATTTATTTGTATTGGCAACTCACAGCTTACTTGAAAACGCCTGGCTGAATGAAACTGAACGAATGGTGAAATTGTCAATTGCCAAAGTCAGACAGACAGTGAATGAAAATTAAGGTTAAGTTACTTCGAAAATTACATAATTTCGTAGTAAATATACAAAATAATACTTATATTTTAATGATAAATTAACCGACAAAATGTTAAAGTAAGTTTATGATATTTATTATAAAATTTCTTGCCGTTGTATGTATCTACAGCCTATCTAGTTAGAACGAGTAATTTCCAATTCAAATAACATTGTTTTTAGATTCGGGGTTAAATCAGCGGTCCTAGGTTCAGCAGTCTATTACACTATTGATAAAGGTGTTTGGAAAGACAGTGCCACCACTTCTGCTTTGTACGATGAACTCGAAAAAGGAGTTTCTCCTTATGTTGGCGAAATTAAAAAACAAATACCATACGAGGTACTTTTTCAGTTTATTACTAAAGTTATTGTTATAAATCTTTAAAATTGAGAGCTAGTCTAAGTTTCCTTATGTTTTCTTCACAGCTACCACCTTTACCCACAAATGATAGAGCTTCATACCTTTTCAAACACTATTGGAATAATGGAGTAAAGGCTACATTCAGTTTCTTGGTTGATCTTCCTACACATACCAGTAATGCTTGCAGCAAGGCGTATGACTATATAAACTCTGCTCTAGATGCAGGTGAGCAAAGTGTAAGTCCTCCTATACAAGAAAACAAATGAAATTGTAAAGTTGATTGTATTTATTTATTTGAAATGGAATTGTTTATTTGAAATAAAAGTAAAAAAAATTGGATTTGTTCATTTTCCTTAGTTGAGTTGGAATTAACAAATTAATTTTTATTTCTTAAACTGCTGGTATATATATGACACAATAGATAAAACATTCTCACATAGATGTGTTTGCTAGAAGACAAGAATAAGTAATGCATGCATGTACAAGAATAAGTAATGCATGGCGAGGCTACATAATTATGAATGTTCATACTAGTAGTTCTTCATATATGCATATCAAATAATTCAAACAATTTTGATAGTATAGGTATACTACTAAATTTTAACCATTACCTTTAAAATCCATTTTGATTGAAAATCTGCCAAACATTTGACGTTTTACCCTGCTTCTCACTTCCTCGGGATCTGTCTCCATGTAAATACGGAGGGTATGTAGCATTATATTTAAATCCTTTGCAAGAGATTAACTCGTCGAGTACCGGTTTTGTAGACACAATTATAGAACAATAGGTTGCGGTCACCGGTGACCGCTTGGTGTTTGACAGTTTAATTGTAATTTCTTGCCTTCCTTACAAACTCACCAGATTTATTTTTATGTCAGAAAACAAATGCTGCATCTGTTTCGTTGTGTCCAGTGAAGCTGACTAGACAGGCATCATGCATAACTGATTAATAAATAAAAAATGATGTCAGACAAAATAAATGACATCATCTGTAAAAATTTCATAATTATCAAATTGCAGTATGTTGATCCGATGATAGAGCCATGTGGCAGATGATGGTGAACTGACAATGCTTCATAATTATAACATGATTCCTGCAGGAAACAAGTCTGTGTGCTCTACAAATAGTTATGGCCCAGACTGGGTGTAGTAATTTGTAAATGCACTCATTAAACATACTCCATGTTACCATAATGTGGAGAAATTAAAAAAAAACAACAACATTTACAAAAACAGCCCACAACTGTGGCACAGTTTGATTTATTCCTTTCTTGCAGTGTCACATACTTTACAACTTTACCTAATAATAGGATCTGCTCCATAAACATTGTAAACATTTCCAAGCTTCAACAAATATTGCAGTTGACACAACACAGACCTCACAAAACATGAATGTCCATCTCAAATTTAATATAAAACCATCATTTCACTAATTATCTATTTAAATTTATACAAGACTATTTAAAACGGAAGAAAGCTTGGTGTTAACACTTATTAATGGTATCTGTTGTATACATATGAATTTAAAGAATTACTATGTAAAATTTGAGTTGGAGAAATAGTTTGTAACACTATAATTTCATTAAAATGTTATGAAAACCTTTAACAATATTATGAAACAGTTGCGCCAATTCTACACACAAATCAATACGAAGTCAATGTAATATCAAATTTTATAAAGAAATTTTGTGCACTTTACAAGGACTAAAACAAACATTTAAAGGAATGGTCTTGATATATTACTTTCTGTTCAAATTACACTTCATAAGAGTGTGAAGTCATTTTATGTACAAGTATTATTTCAAATAAGTAGGATTCAATGAGGAATTAAGGATTAAAAGCAAAACATTATGTTAGTCATTCATATTAAAGTACAATAGCACACTTGTGTTTTATTTAGAATTACATACTATTGCAGAATTCCCACATATACCAGGTAGCTTATACCCAGTTTTAAAGATAAAAATGTGGACTACTGTAATTTTCGATTTTGTAAACAAGCCAAAATGTATCAGATTTAAAATGTAAAATTCAATATCTATTTGTTTTGTATCAGCTTGTAATAAAGGTATCCTTAAAAGGGTATGTTGGAGGAAGCTGTAGATTTCATTTCGTTAATATCCTCGGCAAGTTGTCCCGTTGCTAGGCAACAGTTTCAACTTCCATGGGCTCTTCAGCGCCAGTTTTCTTTTTCTTCTTCTTGTTGGATTTTGCGGATGAGTTGAGGAGCGCCTGTGAATATTTGTAATTAAAATTATGATCGATTCTTTTAGAACACTTAAGGTATTAAACTTTCAAACACCGAGCGGTCACCGGTGACCACAACCTATTGTTCTTTTAACTAACTTTAGAGTTAATTGTACAAAAGTATTATAAAAATGTCGTAATGATTCAAACTGAAGTACGATTGAAACGTAAATCGGCTCAAAAACGTTACATTCAATATGCCCTGTGCTTGTTCAAATCATACCTTGTGCAAGCATGCTTTGAAAGATAACAGGGGAGTAAGTAATTAGTTTGAGTAGCAATGAACTGATATTATTATTATTGTGAAGAAAAGATTCTATTTTAATCTCGAATAGATGTGTAAATATACTTACATTGAGTTCAGGGTCCTTGATACTGCGTTCACTCTTGCATGTACTTTTATCGAATGGCAAGCCAGTTATACGATGTGTACCACTCGGTAGCAACAGAGCCGTAAACTTAAACTGCGCCACAAGCTCACCAGGGCGTTCGTACAGAACCTATAAACAAAATAAATTACTTTCATCATCAAACAAAATAAAACTATTTTTAACATTTGACTATAAAGGAAAATATAAGCTTTGTTCTGTGAAATCAACAGTAATGTTATTTTTATTAATTAAAACAATAGTCAAAATCATTTAATTATAAAGTAACAGCACTATACCTGGAAAGGCTCAATAAGTTTGTGGTTAACACATTCAACAACACCTAATCTCGCACTGGTCTCTTTGTCAAAGCTTCGGAGGTTGAATGGCATTGAGCCATGTTTATTGCGGACCTGTCACATAAAAATACAAACAGTAATTAATATATTATTTATAATTCCAAAAGATATGTTAATGTATGATAATAAATTGTCAATGTCGAAATGATCTATACCAAAACACTAGAAAATGTTCTGGTTCAAACACATTCCTATTACTCTATCCAGAGTATCATGGCAACATTGCATAAGCAATAATTATTATGATAATCTGGAACTTTGTATTACAACTTCTTTCTACAATACAAAGAACTATGTACTCACCTCACTATAGAACATTCTTGAAGCTTTCAGTTTCAATTGATACACCTCATCAGTTTTCTTGTATATTGTACACCTTGTATCCATCTCTCGGCCCTGGATAACAAATAGGCATAATCGTTAATACTACAATAATAAACCTACATGAATTTTTGAAGTAAAAAAAATGTGGATGGTTAAATGTTAGTAATATAAAAACCAAAATGATATAAAATCACTTCAGTCAGAAAATTACTAGTTTATTTTGCCCTGAGTACTGCCAGAATATTTAGCAGATAAATAGTCTGGAAAGAATTCAGGGCCCACAATAAGTATCAAAAAATATTGGTTTCATTATTAAATACTATAATACTAACAATGCCTTCACCAGTAGACACTAAAACATCCATTGCATAAACTTCATAAGTTTCCAAAGTTGCCTTCTCATGTTCTTTGCGCTGTGCTTCAGAAGGGTTCTGAATGATGCTCTTCTCCCCATCAATACGGAACTGCTTCAGCTGGTGTGAAAGCATGCCTTCTACAGGTTTGCAGCCATACTCTGCAGTTATCTTCTGCACGGCATCTGTTATTACGTAGTTCTAAAAAGAAAATAAAGCATTCAATAATAATACTTATGTAGAGCGGTATAAAATTACTTAAGAAATAGCAAATCACTCCTACAAATATTGGCCAACCCAAGAAAAGACAAGACAAAATGTAAAAGAAGTAATTAAATCTATGCATATAATGAAATCGTTAGAAAGAGAAAACATAACATTGAATATTTTTTTTAAAGAATGCTTGGGGTGTGATTTGCAGTCAATACCGAAACCATAAATATAGATTTTCGAATGTTTGTCTTTATGTATGTCCGGGCGAAACTCGATAAAAACTCATCTACTTGGAACATCTAAAAGTAAGTTGTACCTCATTATCAGGCCGCAACAACCTCAAGGCGGCTTCGCTAGCATAATGGGCAGCAAGAACAACATCTGCTGCTCTTCCTGATACTTCTACACCACCAACAATTACAGTGTGAGCAACCACTGCAATGAACCCATCAATGTGTGCACCTAGGTCTCTGCAAACAAGAAATAAAGGTATTGAAACTGTATAATAACTAACCTACAAAACCAATTCAATCCAGTTAGATAATATACTCTAGTAAATAATACATCCAACGGCAGACAACATTTGAAAGAAATTATTGAATTGTTAAATTACAAAATTGTAAGACCGGATTTCAGTTAATCTTTTTGGTATAGAGGTTATAAAAAATAGGTTGCACCTAATAGCTTATAAATATCCGAAATCCAGTATGGCATGCGATGTATTAATAGACCAGAGCCAGTACTTATGTTGTACACTGATAGTCGCAAAGAAAGAGAGGGCATTGAACGAGGTTCGAACAAAGTTCACTTGATTACTAACTTGAAATTACTTACATCTTTGCCAGATCGCCCTCTTTGAGTATGTAATCGTTTTCGCTAGGTATCGGCGAGAAGTGACATATACAATTGTTCACCGACACGCATGTTGAGAACGCTATTCCCTTCTTAGAATCCTTCTCTTTTTTGAAAACCTTAGAAGTCTCGTCTAGAATTAGCTTGTCGCCAAATTCACAAATTTCTCTGGCGGATGCATCAGGCACACATTTCGCAATGACCTGTTCCAGGACACCTGTAAATAATATTTAGGTAGAGTTAAAAACGCACGCGTTTATGAAAATTACTTGGCAAGGACCGCGGCACCACATTGTCCGCATGGCGATGACACGCGTCCATCGGTCCAACCTACGTAGTATAGATTCGAATATGATTTCTGACATTGGCACAAAAATTAAAACAAAGCACTCATATAGAGTTACACCAAAACTTACGATTAACAATTTGTCCAGCTAGTTTATACTTGGTAACAACCAAGTCTTCAGCAATAGTTTTCTCAACTTCTTTATCGTCAGCCATTTCTCAAAATTGTGGTTGTCGCCTAGGCATTGGCTTTTGATTGGCTGCTTTAGGTTATGGTCACGTGACAGTGGGAACGAATCAGTACAATGGCGGGTAAATGTGAATGATTAATCGTTCCGCTTTTTAGATTACTAAAATTGTTCTGATTCTGATCTGATTCTGTAACGAATAATTTACATAATTATATACCTATGGGTATTTTAAAATTAACTTCTTTCGATTTTGATAATGTTGGTTATTCATTTATTTAAACTATCAGAAACGGGTAACACCACACTTTATTGTGCTTTTCAACTTCAATCGACATCACGTCATAAATAGAGATGTACGAATTTTCGGATAAGCACTCGAATAAAAACGGGTAAATAATCAGTATTTACTCAGTATTAAAATTTACTATTTTGAGATGGCGTGACCTCCACTTTGAAACCCTGGAAGGTCATTCGATGATAAATGAAAGATCAAAGGGGAGATCTTTGTTCAGTGCCGTACCGGCAGTGGATGTCTTCCAGTTGGCTTTTCCAGATGATAAAAATTAAAATGGACACCATTCTAATAAATATCTATGTACAAATATATCGATTACGTATAAGGAGTTAACTTCATTTTAATGGTCGGCTCCATTTTTAATTAAAATATAAGTCAGATATAAGTGCAGATCTTTCATCAAAAACAGCTGTTAGTTTGTCAGTGTCACCCCCTATAGGTACTTAATATCTCTTTGGTGTCACCGTCATTAGTTAGTGTGACAGGTGTGACTGTCTGTCAGATGTTTTAATTTGCTTACTCGCTCTGATTTTTATACCTTTGTGAATGTTTTTGTTGATCGAAAATATTATTTATATTCAATTTATTAATTGAAATGGGTACATCAGAAGAGCTCATGTTATTACTAAATGATAAAATAACCTTAGGGGAAAATCTTGTAGTTAAATTGGACCCATTAAATGAAATAGATGGAGTTACGAAATTGCAAAGGAAAATTAGGCAAGAAATAGAATTCTTACGGAAGGTAATGTTCTAAATATGACGCATGTTGAACCTTATTTATTTACTAATAATATTCTTCATATATTGTTGTAGTTAAAAAAATCTAAGAATGTGAAAATTGAACAATTATCATGTTCGAATCTCCGGCATCTTGGCGCGATGGTTGAATTGAGTCTAAGGCCTGGAGTTATTGCAGTGTGTAAAATTTTTCACATTAATGACTCGTCAAAGTTAGTAATTGATATAATTAGTGAGGAAGGAAGAGTTTGGACAAAAGGTGGGAAATAGAACTGTACATGAAATGGGTGCATTATCAAATATTATCGATATTATTAACATAGGTTTTTTCCAGTTATTGCTAGGAACCCTAAATCTCTTTCTGCCTTAAGTGCAGGCAAAGCTTCATATGGAGCTCGCTCAATATTGGACCAAGCTGAAGATTATCTGGAATGTGCTAAGCTTTACCCATGCATGTATAAACCTCCTAAGGTATTACTTATTTAGTACAATTTCATGAATATTTTTACTATTATTATGATTAGAAATTACTCATCTTTTTAACCATATTCCAGGTTATTTTTGAATTTATGAGTGGTATAGAAGAAAATTTGGCAAATAAATTAAAATCTGTTGGTGTGACTGTAAAAGGAGAAATATTGCCCAATTCAAATCTATCTGAAGATAATAATGATTCATGGGGTGAAGAATCTAGTGATGATGAGTGTCAAGAACATAGGTAATAATAATAAATATAAAATAAAGTAAAAACAATTATTTTATTATATCAACTAAAAGAATCAATCAGTCATTAACTCATCGAGTACCGTCATTATAGACACAATTATAAAACAATAGGTTGCGGTCACCGGTGACCGCTTGATGTTTGACAGTTTAAATTACCTTACCATTCTTTTATGTGTCAAGGAATTATCAAAAGACCTTATAGTTAACTGAATATTTGCAATAAAAATCTGATTGTTATTTCTAGTGAAGGACCCTCATTGAACTCAATGCCAGAATGTATGGATGAGCATCCAGAAATTAAGACTCTCAACTTGGATGTAACGGCAATGATGGCATATGTGAGCAATATGACAAATGGTCACTGTAATTACATGTTTAAACAGGAAGTACTCACTCAGCAGGCAGCTTGGGAAGTTCAGAGACCAGTGAAACCTATTTTAGAAAGATTATTTAAAGGTAAACCTTCATGTTAAGAAGACACTCCCATTTTTGTAAGACAAGGCTGTTAACATATTTGCAACTCCTCTATAGTAGATACTATTTTCCAAGTCCTTATTGTAACTCTTCTAAATATTTTCAGACAAGACATTAGTGTGCTGCAAAACAGCTTGGGATGATTTTGAAAAAATTGTAACCACTCTTGGTGGACCTATGGAGATCAAAAGAACACAAGAATTGAAAAATGTTGTCAAAGTATATCCTGATGACTATGGTGGTGAGTAAATAACTGTATATAAAAATATAAATCAATACTGAAAATGTAACATACAAAACTAAAATCAGATTATATTATAATTGTAAAAGAATTAATCTAATTAATTCTGTATTATTTAGTTTTGAGTAACATATTCTGTTTTCAGGTGAAGATGATTATCCAAGAAAGAATTTAAAAGTTAGAGGGCATGTTCGATTAAGATCCAAAATTATTTTTAATTTTGGACATAGGATCAAAGCCCTTACTGTTTCAGCCAATGAAGGATTTGTTAGGGCTGCTATGCAACAGGTATTTTACAGATTTAAAAAATAATATATAAGTCTTCTACTCTCTCGTTTTTCACAATATTATTCACATTATCTTTTTATTTTCAGGGCATAACATATGCATCATTTGTTCATGAATCAAGAGCTTTGACTGAGGGCAAAGAGCCAACAGCCACAAAAATCTCATTATGATATTTCATAATCATTATTAGTGCAGTATTGAATAATTTTATGAAAAGAACATCTACAAGTCAATTATTAATACCTTTAAAATTATTATAAACCTGTCAAAAAACCAATGTTTATAAAAATTAATTATCGTCCATTAGTTATAGATCTATGAGACAAATGATTTAAACTGTCAAACACCAAGCAGTCACCGGTGACCGCAACCTATTGTTCTATAATTGTGTCTACAAAACCGGTACTCGACGAGTTAATAAATGGGTAATGCAATTTATGTTTGTCTTGATCTCAATGTTGCAATTTAAAACAAAACCATTGGTTTATTTCACCACTGTGTTAGTAAGATCCCTAGCATTTCACATAGTAACTGGGGATGTGGTGAAATGTGCCTTAAATCTAACAAATTTTGACTCAGATATTGTTACAAGATTGTAGTAATCATAATATATATTAAACAGATTTTTAAATCTTTGTGTAAGTATGTTCATCCCTTGATGTTTTGATTTGTATAAAATGGTAATTATGTCTATGTAAACCGTCAATATGTGATCAGAAATCAGTATATTTAAATAAATAACTTTGTTTCATGAACATGTTTTATTCTATTTTTTTAAGGTGTAAATATTTTAGTTTTTAATTATCTAAATTTTAAGATGTATTAAAACTTTATTCCAATTACAGCTATGCCTACGTTTAAGTGCTCCTTGTGTTTCTCCGCATTATTGTCACTGTGGAGAAAGAGTCGATGGCTTGGGACACCATGGTCTTTCTTGTTGCAGAAGTGCAGGCCGCATAGCTCGCCATGCCAGCATCAACGACATGATTCGTCGTGCTCTTGCCTCAGCCGGTGTACCAACCGTATTAGAACCTAATGGTTTGGTACATGATGACGGCAAAAGACCAGATAGTATGTCGTTGCTGCCTTTGGAAAATGGGTAGGCCTTTGGTGTGGGACGCGACGTGTGTAGACACCCTTGCGCCATCACATCTAAGTACCGCTGCATGCGTTGGTGCGGCCGCTTCCGCGGCAGAGGCCCTCAAACGGCGTAAATATTCAAATCTAGTGGGTAACTACTGTTTTGAGCCGTTTGGGGTCGAAACACTTGGGCCATGGGGTCCCAGTGCACACTCTGTTTTTAAAGATATCGCCCGTAGGCTAATCGACTCTACACATGACCAGAAGGCTGGCTATTTCTTCGGACAGAAAATAAGCATTGCGCTTCAACGTGGCACTGGCAATGCTGCTAGTCTCCTGGGAACGTTCCCCTGTGATAGTGATGCGGACAAATACTTTGACGCCTAAATTGAGGGTATAGTTTTTGTTGAGTCCTTTTTTTTACTTTCATTTTATTTTATAGTTTAGTTGTAGTTAATTTTAAGTTGTAAATATTACAGCTTTCTAAAAGCCGAATTTTGTTTTAATATCATTTGTTTGTCAATGTCATGTCAATATGTCACTTGGTCTTTGTCAAGTTAATGTCAAGTTGTCAATTTTAACAGTTGCTTTCGATTTGATTTTCTTGAGTTTTATTTTAATTATTATGTTTGTGTGAATTTTGTTATGAAGTTTAAAATAATGTGTAAACAATATTGAAATGAATATGGAAACAGATAAAATTGATTCTCAATTTATAGCGGAAAATATCGGTTTCCTAGATAATTGCTTTGATAACTCATTCATCCTGCAAAGTTCTTTGCAAGTTGTTAAGGAACAAGCTGCAGAAAGTAATTATTACCAAGTATCTAAAAGAAATGACAGACAATGTAAGGAACTTAACAATTATTCACAAAATAGTACAATAACATTGGAGTCTACCCAAAATAATTCACTGACATCGCGAATTATTGTGAGCAACAGAAATAAAAAGTTAAGAGACTGGGGATTGCCTTTAGAAATAGCAAGGAAATATGAAGAACGAGGTATTACAGAAATGTTCGAGTGGCAGGTCAACTGTTTGGCGAATTCGAAGGTACTGTTTGATAGCTGCAACTTGGTGTACTCAGCCCCTACCTCTGCTGGCAAGACACTTGTAGCAGAAATATTAACTATAAAAACTATATTAGAACGTCAGAAAAAGGTAATTATTATACTGCCATTTGTTTCTATAGTTAGGGAAAAGATGTTCTATCTCCAAGATATATTGTCCAGCTCAGGAATTAGAGTGGAGGGGTTTATGGGCTCTCAGTCTCCTCCTGGAGGCTTGCAGGCTGTTCATGTTGCTGTATGCACTATTGAGAAAGCAAATAGTTTGGTGAATAAGTTGTTGGATGATGGTTCCATAGCAGAACTAGGTGCCATTATTGTTGATGAACTACATTTATTGGGTGATCCTAGTCGAGGATACATATTAGAATTACTCTTGACAAAAATTAAATATGTATCATTTAATTCTGATGATGTGAAGGTACAAATAGTGGGTATGTCAGCGACATTACCCAATTTGAAATGTTTAGCAAACTGGTTGAATGCAGAATTATTCATCACACAGTTTAGACCAATCCCTTTAGATGAATACTGTCTTGTGGGAGACAAATATTATGATAAAAAGGGAACATGTGTTAATACAGTAGACTTGAGCTTAACAACAGAAGGAGATAATGTTCTAAAAATTTGTTTAGAAACAATAAAAGATGGATGCTCTGTTCTAATATTTTGTATGACAAAGAATTGGTGTGAAAGTTTAGCACAGTCTGTGGCAACATCATTTTACAAATTGGGATGTGATAACGGTGAGGCTGGCTCTATATTAAGAAGTCAGTTGAAATCTATGAGTATTGTGGAAGTACTAGAACAACTGAAGAATTGTCCTGTAGGGTTGGACCAAGTTTTGAAGAAAACTATATCTTTTGGTGTTGCTTACCATCATGCTGGTCTGACATTTGATGAGAGAGACATTGTGGAAGGTGGATTTAAATCAGGAGCAATCAGAGTTTTGGTGGCCACATCTACACTGAGCTCAGGAGTAAACTTGCCTGCAAGAAAAGTTATTATCCGGTCACCTGTGTTTCAACGACAGCCAATTAACATTCTAACATACAAACAAATGATTGGTAGAGCTGGTAGAATGGGAAAAGACTTAAAAGGTGAAAGTATTTTAATATGTACAGAAGCTGAAAGAAAAATTGGCTTTGATTTAATGATGGGGAACTTGAACCCAGTGAAAAGTTGCATTGAAAGTGAAGATAAATATATGAGGGCAGTACTTGAAATGATTGCCAGTCAAGTATTGACAACCAAGGAACAGTTGGACATGTATTCTAAATGCACTTTGCTCTATAACCAGCAGGAGGCAACAGGTACCCAAGACTGTCTGCTGGAAAATACTTTAGATGAATTACAAAATTATGAGTTAGTGAGGGTACAGACTGATGGCGAAGACGAACGTTTTGTTGCTACACCATTAGGTAAAGCTTGTCTCTCATCATCAATGGCTCCAAATGATGGGTTATCATTGTTTTGTGAGCTACAAAAAGCTCGCCAGTGCTTGGTTTTGGAGACTGATTTGCATCTAATATATTTAGTGACTCCTTACAGTGTCAGTAGTCAGTGGGGTAATATAGACTGGATACATATGCTGACCCTCTGGGAATCTCTAACAAAAGCTATGAAGAGAGTTGGGGAATTAGTTGGTGTACAGGAGAGTTTTATAATAAGATGTTTAAGAGGTGGTAACAAGGCCAACAACATACAGAACAAAATAAATATACATAAAAGGTATGACACCTCTTCAATATAACAATTATATATATATTTTTTAATAATGTTACAGATTAATTCTCCACGGACTCTTGGTCCGTGCCCTTGTCATACAATTTTTTGTTATTACAATATGTCTAATCTATTTTTATAAAGTAAAGAAGTTACCTAGTTACATACTACAATTAATCACATCTATAATTGTTACTAAAAGTATAAATTACATAATAATTAGAGATTATCTATTTATATTTATTTCGACGGCTCTACGAAATCAGCCCACAGCAATTGGTCCGGTCAACTTCTTTATTGCGAATGGAACAACCCAACACACAGCGCCACCAACTAGTAGTAGTAGGACATTTATGTGTGCATGACGCCTCAACCATTGCTATGTTGGCCGACTTCAATAAAGCTTACAATAGTCCAAAAGTCAATAGGTTATTTTCTATTTCTACATACACATTTCCCCATGTTGCATTTGTCTCATAACAAGCAGCATTGCCCGCCCAAAAGAGCACCCACAACCGCCGCGTCCCTGTGTTTGATGGCCATTTCAGGTTGTAGTCCTTAATGCCTTGCTCACTCTCACAAGCCCCCTTCCTGATTAGTTTGCTTATCGCGTCTTCACTGTTGTCTGTATAATAGATGCAACCATGCGTGTGACGCGATATTGCTACTACCGCGTGTGGTTCGCTATCATGTATTTGATGCTTCTTCGTTGCTGTACTCACAACAACCACATTCGCACACGAAAGTCCCTGTGCCTCGTGTATTGTGAGCACGCGTGATCCCACGGTCGACCCGTATCCCTGGATATTAAGGGCTTCCTTTTCTGCCTGAGTTTGTACCAGGTATAAAGTGTCGGGGAGTGATTTGATAATTATCGCTCCCGTGAACCTTTTTATCTCGAGCGATCTCACGAGCGACCTGGACGAGTATATGTGCCACTGTAAACTGCTGAGGGCATACGCCACATCCATTGGATTTCTGTGGGTACACATAAATTCCTGGCTTATGGGTGTGATATATATAGGGCGGCTGTAGAGCAGAGGGAAGAGGTTATCACGGTCTATAAACGGAAGCTGATTAATGTCACCAATTAGAAGGACTTCCTTGGCTCGAGTTATTCGGGCGGCCATCACAACGGCTCTAAAGTGGTTCATGAGAGCCTCATCTACCATTAGTCGAGTGCAGCTCTCTCGCTCCCCCAAGCCGTTTACTAGGATGGACGCCATTGTTCGAACCCTAGATTTGACTAGTTTTCCGATTTGGCAAGATAGTTTGCCTCTGCGGTCATTTGCCGCTTCAGTTGTTGTGGTGACAATTAGATCTTTATTCGCTTCAAATTGATCTCCTATCCATGTCGTTTTTCCGCATCCAGGGACGCCATTTGTCCAGCGAAACCTCGGAGTATGCCAGTCCCTAAAGACTTCGCCGTCCGGTTCAGATTCAGAAACGGATCCACCCTTAGCGCGTATCGAACTGGCTTTTTGAGGAAACTCAAGTCCTCACCCCTGTTCTAGTACACGATGACTTCATGATGTTCTGAAGCCCTGACACATTCTATAAGGTCTGCCGTTTTCCCGTTCTCATAAGCCACCACGGCAGCGTTCACGCTAATTATTTTGGAATTCATGCCCTCTACCCCTCATCACCCACCCATGTCTGACAGCACCCCGCAAGCTTGTTCAAAACAAGTCATTGTGTCATTCATAACGATTAAATTTAGATAAGTAGACCACTCATTATCAGCTTAATTTTTTTTTATGTTTTCTTTAAGATTTTATACAGCCCTGGCTTTGCAAGACTTGGTAAATGAAGTTCCATTGGCAGAAGTAGCAGCAAAGTTCCAGTGTGCTCGTGGCTTCCTACAGAGT